TGCTTTGGATTCGAACTGAGATCATTCTGTCATTTTGGAGATTGTATCCCAGTACTGCTTTTCCTACTCTTTTATTGACTGTGAAGGCTACTCCATTTCTTCTGAGTGATTCTTGCCTGCAGTAGTATACCTGATGGTCATCTGAATTAAATTCACCCATTCCTGTCCATTTTCATTCACTGATTCCTAAGATGTCGATGTTCAGTCTTGTCATCTCTTGTTTGACCACATCCAGCTTGCCTTGATTCATGGATCTTACTTTCCAGGTTCCTATGGAGTATAGATCTTTGCAACATCGGACTCTCCTTTCACCACCAGATACATCTGCAACTGAGTGTCCTTTCGGATTTGACCCAGTCAGTTCATTCTTTCTGGCGCTACTAGTACTAGCCCTCTGCTCTTCCTCAGTAGCATATCGGACACCTTCCGACCTGAGGGGCTCATCTTCCGGCATCATATCTTTTTGCCTTTTGGTACTGTCCATGGGGTTTTCATGGCAAAGATACTGGAGTGGGTTGCCATTTCCTTCTCCAGTGAATCACATTTTGCCAGAGCTCTCTGCTATGACCTGTCCATCTTGGGTGGCCCTGCATGGCATAGCTCATAGCTTCATTGAGCTGCACGAGCCCCTTCGCCATGGCAAGGCAGTGATCCATGAAGGAGCAGGTGCCATTAATCCTGCCTAATTCGTTATTTCTTTTTATATTGAGAGACCAGGGCAACAGTGTACTAAACTCTTTGTCTTGAGGGACTTTAAACTAATGTGTAATCTCCCCAAATTCTTTTAATAGAGGAGGAGGTCATCGTGTGGAACTTTATAAGGTGAGAATTGCACTACTATTATTCATATGAACTAAGTATTATTTTTTTGGTTATACAGATCTGTTAATAGCTTAGCTATTTCAGTTTGTTTCCCCTGGTATCTGTTGTCTATGCCTTTGTGAGAAAATAGTGCTAGAATATGCTAGTCTCTCCATAACTTCGGATCTTTTGAACCTGTCTAAGTCTGTTTGATACACTTTAAGAGAATCTCAAGTGGGAAAGCTATTCCTCCATATTTTGGGGAGGATGTATGTTGTAACATTGCCCACCCCCATAAAATGCATTCCATAGAAAAATACCATAGGAAGACATGTAGAGTTTGTATCCTTTTACCATTCTTCTGAAAATATCTCACAGTCTCATATGTGACCATTTGCATCCTGTTACAGGTTCTGAGTTCTCTCGGATACCATGTAGTCACATTTGATTATCGAGGTAAGATTCACACTATTTGTTCTAAAATGGCATCTGTTACCAAAGCTAGTTCCTTGTATAACTTTTAAGTGAGTCAATCAGTAGGATTTTTTTCTTGAGGTTCATTGACCACTTAAGATATAAGAAGATTTTATTCCTCTAAAAGTGCAAACCCATGCATACTTAGATAGAAACATGCATAGGATAAATTCCCCAAATGCAAATCTCACAATACATAGTTCGCTGCAGAATGCTGGGGATTATAGGACTTTTTTCTGTCTTAACAGTGCATAGAATTGCACCTTAAATTATACTTTTTCCTGCATTTTTGCTTCATGTGCAGTAGTTATATCTGTTTATAAGTAGAATGCAATAGTGGTGGCTCAGTGCAATTATCAGTTAAGGAATGGTGTTAACAATGTTTTTTTAAAAATTTTCTGGTCCTGCCCAAATACATGGGAGTGAATGCCCACTGCTAGGAATTCTGTGTAATGCCCCTCTTAATTTTCTTATTCTGCCTTAAAATATGCATGCTTTTAACAACCTGCCTTACTTGTCTGACTTAAAATTCATGTATCCCAGCCACTCAGTCCAAATCTTGCCTTGAAATTTGTGTGTTTCTCTACTCAATTCCTACTCTGTCTTGAAATTTACACATGAATAGTCATGCTACTCATTGCTGTGTAATCCTCACTTATCTTTCTCAATGGCAAAGGAGACCAGGGAGGGAAGCTATGAGTACAAAGGGCAGCTGGGCAGCTGAAGGTGGTTAGTGGCTGCAAGAGAGAAAGTGCTTTAAGCTGTTTATTACTGTAGTAGAATGTAAAGCAACCTTTTAGGGGGAAAGTGTTTGCATGCAAGGAAAGCATCAAAATGGAGGAGAAAATAACCAAGAATATTGAGGAGAGGGGAATACTAGTATGCTTGGCTCATTAGCAAATAGGTGGTCCTGTGATCCTGCACATTTGTGCAGCACCATTTTTTAAAGTTTGCAAATATTTCTTTCTTTCTTTCTTTCTTTCTTTCTTTCTTTCTTTATTTATTTATTTATTTATTTATTTATTTAAACAACTTATATGCCACCCCATCGCATGAGCCTCAGGGCGGCTTACAATCATAAAATCCCGCATAAAATTCCAAAAATAAAAAATAAAAAATCATCAAATAATTAAAATACATAGAATAAAATAGATTCTTACCCTTTGGTAATCTGATGCGGGAGGTTCACTTGTGAGCAGCAAACACAGCAGAACAATATGTAAAAGGATGCTGAAATTAAAGAGCAGAAAATGAGAATTTCTTCTGCAAAGAGTACTGAGAGGTAGTGAGGGAGAAACAAGCCATGGCAAGCCACTGAATGGGTGATCATTTGGTGAGAGTAACAAACAAGCTGGCTTATTCACTGTGGTTATTCTCAAGGCAGCTAAGATGATCTGTAAACTCTCCCACAATCTAGTTTTCCTAAAAGTCTACAGGCTCAGACTTAGGGTGAGTTTTTCTGAGATTTGAATAAGTCTCTCTGCTCCATAGAGATTGTGACATAACTGTGAAAAGCCCTGGTCTGTACCCAGCACTTAATTTTTCTACAGAAAATTTTCCATTCCATAACTACATTAGTAAAAATGATAGTATAACAATTGCTAATACAATATTAGCCGAGCTTGGCAGTTGTGATTAATGTTTTCCAGGTGATTATCTTAGCAAACATGTGAGAGAATACATACATGTCTTGGTGTGAAATAGAACAAATGAATAGTCAAAGTGAAGGTGCTCCAACAGCCTTAGTAGAAGAAAGTTGAGGGAGAGGGGTGGTTGTAAGCATATCAGGCACATTTCTTTGGGTTGCTAAAATCATTGCATCAACAGTTTTCAGTACCATTTTTCTCTTAAATTTAAACAGTGTAAAGCTCTCTACAGTGTAAAAGTGTTCCAGTAAAAGATCTACATAATATAGCCTGTAAAGCTCATCAACTGTGCTTTAATCCCCCTACAATATGTGAGATCATATATTTATGGTGTGGTGGGACAAAAAATCAACATGGGCATTTTTAAAGCTCTGTGTTCTGGGTGCAGTTGATAGAAAGGCAGGGTACAAATTAAATAAGATAAATATGACATAGTAAACCTTCAGTGGATGCAATGCAATTTTGGATGGAAGGAGGTATTCCTGAACGAGCAGAAAGTTAGAGCTAGAGGTAAAGAAGAAAAAAATGAAGGGAAAAAATATATAGATGTGGTTCCAGTGGAGGGATGCTCTAAGTGTGTGTTTTTTGGGGTTGGGTGCTGCGCATACACACAGTGGTACCTTGGCTCATTAACTTAATCTGTTCCAGGACTCTGGACGTGACCTAAATTGGTCATGACTCAAGTCAAATTTCCCCGTAAGGTTCAATGTAAATAAGGTTAATCTGTTATGTAACCTTTTTTTTTTTAATCACAAAAACTTGAAACAAAGTAACAAAGAACAACAAAGTAACGAAGTACTGTACAGTACAGTAGAGAACACTAACCTAGGTGGGAGCGAGGTTATTGTTTGGATGGAGAGTCCAAACGATAATTGTGCGATAGCGATTGTGCTGGGGGAGGGGAGATGACTGCAATCATGATTGTGCTCGTGCAGGGAAGACGGGCACAATTGCAGCCATCTCCCTCCCTCCCAGCATGATTGTGGCCATCTCCCCCCCACTGAGCACGACCACGTTCGTGCCTTTCTTCCCTGCATGAGTGCGACTGTGACCGCGACCATCTCCCCACCCGCCCGCAAGCATGATCGTGCAGGGAAGACAGGCGCAATTGCAATCGTCACCCAAAGCAGAGTTCGCGACCTGAAGCAAAAGTTTGCCAAAATTTCTGTTTGCAACCCGATTTGGTTGTGAACTGAGGCGTGTGTGAGCTGAGGTACCATTGTATATATACATGTGTTTGTGTTTATATATAAAGAGAGAGATTATATATATACTAAATATATATATAAACTATAAGACTTTATGTATGTATGTATAAAAAGGCACTATATGTGTGTGTATATATCTTTATTGTATGATGGATTTTGTTATTGTATTATTTTAAACATTAAAATTTTAAAACATAAACATGTCAAATTATATCTGTCTAGAACATCAAACCCTTTTCTGATACAGGCTGCAAATTTTTCTGTGCATGTGCATTGTAATTAATGCTATTTGCAATGGATTTTTTCTGCAAAAATTCAGTTTTCCAGAAAACTTCCATTACTGTCTGTGTTTTACTGGATTCAGAGAAAGGAATGTAAAATAATGCTTTTGCTAGAAATACTAACAAAACTAGTATGGGGAGAGGTATGAACTCAGTTATACAGGACCAAGCCCATATACAGGCATAAAAGGTATGCTTTTGGTAGGGTTTGCCTAATTTATTTGCCTGCCTAATTTATTGTAGTAGGGAGTTGTAGGTGATACTAATGGCACTTTTCTGAGCCGTTATGAACCAGTCCTCCAAAATATTGGGTACCATCAGAAACGTATTTCATTCCATGTATACATGGCACCGCAATTAAACTTACAGAAGAAGTACACCTCAAGATGTTTCAGGCTTTATATAATAGAACCAAACTGAATAAATTATGCTTAGAAGATTAGTTTTGATGTTGCACCAATTCCATTTTATTTTAATGGGTATCTCAGCTATGTGTAAAGGAGTGAAAAGCAGTAAAGAACAGAACTATTCAGTTGTGTTTTCCTGGCCCACTATTATTTGGCTTCAATTCAGACACAAAACCTGCATGTTATTTTGATTAGTAGCTTGATTCCCGGAATAAAATATTTTTCTCTCTTTCAGGCTGGGGAGACTCAATAGGCACTCCCTCCGAGAGTGGAATGACCTATGATGCACTTCATGTTTTTGACTGGATAAAAGCAAGAAGTGGAGACAATCCGGTTTATATATGGGGACACTCCTTAGGCACTGGGTAAGTCTTTAGATTTCAGATGGCACATAACAGGAATTTGCAATACCACAAGTGGCTTAATATGTCAGATTTAGGATAATAGTTTGATGCAAGATAATATTTGTTGTCAAATTTGTTTTCCTAGTTCTACAAATGCTAAGGTTTTGTGATTTGTATAGATACTTAATGGAATATCTGAAGGACAAAAAATATTTGCAGACATTTTTCTCAACAGTTTTCCTTGGTTATAACAATAGTTCTTGGGTTTTGAATACATTGGGTAAACAACTCTGGAAACTGTTACCATCCAACCAACATTTTATTTAATTACCTACCTTCCAGCCACTTCTGTGTGATTGCCTTCTAAGCCGCTTCTCCTCCCAGGCCTTGAGTCAGCTTGGAAGAATTGCTTTCTTATATGAGGCTGAATGTTCCCACTTCCCAAAGCTGTTCCTAATGGATCAAGTTTTTGATTCCTATTCCATTATGCATTGTTTGCATTGTGCTATCAATGGTGTATTCAGTGCAGATACTGCTGAAAGCACTGGTGTATTCAGAACACAAGCATTTTTATTTGCAGCAAAGCAGACCAGAGATTCTGAGGTGGTAGCTCTAAAGTCTGTATAAGGAAGTGAAATGTGGCAATACAGTTGAAAAACAAAGGCAGATCCTGGTCTAATTGAAATATATTAATTAAATATAGAGACGGGAAATCTAACTGACTTATAATTACCCCTCCTTTTTAGATATGCCTTTGACATTCTTTGGCAGTATCTGTGTTTACTGTTATTCTGCTTTTTTATTTGATATAACATGGGGAAACATGCAGAAAATGCTCCCCTTTTCTTGAGTTTAGAGAATGGAGTCCAGTCCAGCTTGGATTTTAGTTGGCATAAGAAAGGGAAAGGGAGTTTTGCCCATTTCCCCCTGCAGCCGTTCTTTGCTGTTCCACAGAATCCCTCAGTCCTCTACACTGGATGTTTAGGAGGTACAGAAAACTATACGAAGCACTGCCTCCCCTCCTCCTCTCTCAGCAGGACAGTTCCATCAGTATTGTTCTGCCCCCAGGAATCTATCCCAGCCAGTTACCTTTGAGACATGATGGAACATCACAGGCTTTGGGCCATGTGAAAGCTGCTTTTTAATCTGAAAAAGGGAAGCAGGACATTTAATGAATTCAAGCAGCTAATAACTGAACTTAGGTTTGATTTAATTTATGATGGAAATGTTTCACGTGATGGACAATACGTTAAAATACTGGCTTTACCAGCTTCAGGAGGGCTGTTTAGCAGGATTACACCAGGAATGATGTTTCATGAAGCCTGTTTTTGAAGGACAGAAAAAATTGGTTGAAAACTTGCTTGGCTACATTTTAATTAAAGAATGTGTTACTGATAAATGAGAAACATTGTTGTGTACCCTTTCAATATGAGTGTATCCTTTTGTATTTCTTGAGTTTGAGGTTTCATAGTAGTTTGTGATAAACCCTAAAATGAACAGATTTGTAAGGCAAAGTTAAATAAAGGTTATTTAGAACAAAGGGAAGGGTAAGTAACTGGTTTTACTGGTAACTGGTATAAACTACAGGTGTCCTGAGATATTTCAGAATGATACTTTCAAGGGCTGATATGCTAATACTGTCATTATGTACACTAAAGAAGCAAACTTCCCATTTATTTGTGTTTATTTATTTGTTTATTTTGTATGTGTCTAATTGTGTGTGTTAAGACGAAAATAGTCAGACCAAAACACAGAACAACCCCCCCCCCCCGAAAAAAAAGATAACCTGCTTTCAGTTTGGAGTGGCTTGGTTGTGTACCAGAAGTGCTCTATACTGAAGTACCAGTTTTGTGTATACTTAGGAGTAAGTCCCATTAAGCAAAGTGAGGTTTACTTTTTAATCAATAAATATAAATGTAAGGAAGATGGATTGTTTAAAGAGATGGCTAGCTGATGCAATTATTTCCAATTAGTGTTTTAATTCTAGACTTTTCTCCACTCCTAGTGTTGCAACCAACCTAGTAAGGCGCCTCTGTGAAAGAGGTAAGAGCACTTTTTTAGATGATGTTAGATATTTCCATGTGGCAGTATTTACGGTGATTATTTTTCTGAGCTTTTAAAATCACCAGTGAGTTCTGAAAGGATTTTATTGGGCAATATATGGTTTTTATTAAAGTGGGAGGACCATTCTGTTTATTTATTGGGTGGGACAATAAAATAAAAGTTATAAAGTATACTTTATACAGTGCTACCTTGGCTCACAAATTTAATCCATTCCAGGACTCCGGTCGTGACCCAAATTGGTTGTGAGCCAAGTTAAATTTCCCTGTAAGGTTCAATGTAAATGAGGTTAATCCATTCTGTAACTATTTTTTTTTAATAAGAAAAATGTGAAGAAGCAAAGTGACAAAGAACAATAAAGTTCGTGGCCATCTCACCCCCCCCCACCCCAGGCACGAGCCAGCCATCTCCCCCCCACCACATGACCGCAGTTGCACCCATCATTCCTGCATGCGCCCGTCATCCCCGCAGGGGAGAGACGGGCGTGAATGCAGGCACATGGCGGCCGGGGGGGGGGGGATGGGGGCAAACGGGGGGACGCTTGGGGGGGGGGGGAGATGGGTGCAATCGTGCTGCGGTGGGGAGATGGCCAAGATCATGGTTGCGTTCATGCAGGAAAGATGGGCGCAATCACTGGTGCACTCATGCAGGAAAGACGGGTGCGATCTCAGCCATCTCCCCACTGGGGTCGGGGGGAGATGGCCGCAGTTGTGGTTGCCACCCAATGCGGAGTTCGCGACCTGATTCATAATTTTTATGACATTTTTGTTCGGGACCCGATTTGGTCATGAATTGAGGCATTCATGAGCTGAGGTACCACTGTATCATGTTTAAAAATAATGACCGTCATTTGGCTCAAACCATGTTGATATTAGTGGAGTGTCGTATGCTGGTTCCTGACTTGACCACTTTAAAAACATAATCAGTTCATGTCCTTTCACCATAAGGGTATTGAGAACAGTATTTCCCTTTTTTGATCATTTGTGCCTGTTCTTGGCACCAGCCTCTCATGTTGCTCAGATTGTGGATCCATATTCTCTGTACTGTTCAAGCATCTTGAGTATTGCAGTTCTGCGATTTTTATTAATTTAATTGTGGCTAGTGTAAAGATGATGATGATGAAGATGATAAATATTTCTGTACGACCCAATAGCTGAACCTTTCTGGGTGGCTTACTGCAACATATAAAATACAATAAAAATACATACAATAAACCATAATAAAAATAAAATTTAAAACCAATTTTTAAAAGCTACATTAACTTTCTCAGGGTTACAAGCCTTGTTAAGCAGCTGTTTATATAAGATTTAAAACTAATTAAACGCCCTGCCATAAAAGACAAGTTTAACCTGACATAAAAAAAAAAAAAATCAAGTTTGGTGCCAGGAGGCCTCAGAAAGGAGCTTCTTCCAGAACTGTGGGACTGCTGTGCAAAAGGGCCTTCTCCTTGTTGCCACCAACCAAGCCTCCCCCAGATGTGGGAGTTACAGGCAAACCGCAGATCTTGATCATAGTGGTCATTTATGTTTAGGAGAGGTGTTGGCGCCAGGCAAACCTCTCTGGGGAGCATATTCCATAGATGGGGCACCACCACAGAGAAGGTCCTCTTCTGGGTAGCCACCCTCATCTCTTTCAAGGTGGGGTCTTGGAGCAGGGCCTCCGTGTAGATCATCCATCCATCCAAGCATCCAACATATATGCCGCTATAACTAGTCTGAGTACTCTCCAAGCAGATTGATAACTGAAGGCAGGGTGTTCCTGTCCAGGTAGGAGCGTAGCTAAGCTATCAAGCTGAAGCTGGTTGAAGGCATTCCATACCACGCAGGCCACCTAGGCCTCAAGTGGCATATATATTAATTTCCCCCTTGACCTGCAGCCTGGCAACGTAAGCATTACCCCATTGTCATAAATGGGCAGCACTGTAGCACGTTCTGTTTGTTTTTTAGAAACTCCTCCAAGTGCCCTGATACTGGAGTCACCTTTTACAAACATCCGCGAAGAAGCAAAAAGCCATCCCTTTTCAGTGGCAAGTACAGATTTATGTGCTGGAGCTTCTACCTTTTACTGTCACATGTTTCATGTATACATAATACAAAAGCCTGTGTTCATTTGATAGTTCTCACTGTATCTGAAGTTGTTAGCTGGTGAACAGAACTTTTATCAAGGGTTGCTGTTTTTTGTCCACACCGAGTACCTTTTCCTCTGCAAAGAGCTTTTGCCAGTCTGCCCAGGCTGAAAGAATTCCATGCAGAAAGTGAGTGTGTTCTGCAAATGTTTTTGTATCTAGTGTTCTTTATTATCCCTTTAAGATAATTTAGACCTGACCTTGTTTGACTTTGTTGAACTAAGAGAGGAGTATAAAGATAAATGATGATAAACATTAACACTCAGAAGATGGCTGCAGTGCTTTTATGTTTTTCATAAAGTACAGCCTATTCCTCTTATATATTAAAGGGCCTGTAAATCATGTGTACATAAAATGGGAGCTTATAAATGATCATAATGGGTTACTCTGAAATGTCAGCTGATCAGCACAGGAGGCCGCTCTTAAGGAGGCTGAACTTTCTAAGGAGGGTCTTGGAAAACCAAGTATCTGTGATGATATATCCTGGGAATAGGTGGTGCCATTTGCACTAACATTTCTGTGTGGAGTAAATTTTATTGTTCCACTTAAGGGCTAGTAGGGGAAAGTATAAACTTATTATTAAAGCCTTTGCTTTCCTCTACAATGCATTAGTGCTTCCTGCTGATTGAAGGATGGAGGTAGAGTGAAATGGAGAGACGTTGCAAACATAGTGGCTTTAGATCTTGCAAATAGACTGAGGGGCAGTGGGGAAAGTTGTCTCAGTCCATCCTCCCTATCTTATTGGTCCATTTATGAAAAAAGATGGCTGAGTGGCTTTGATTATTACTGCTTTGCATTTATATCCTGCCTTTTTTCCTTTTGTGAGGAACCTAAAATGGCTCACTTAGCTCCAGTCTCTTTTTGTCTAATGGTAGGAAATGGCCCTAAAGGAAAGAAGCAAGTGGCTTCAGTTCTCCTTTAGGAAGGAAGGGTTGAAACCCTTCCCTTTTATTATTTCATTTTGACTACTTATTAGTAACTTTTGGGGTCATTCAAGTAATTCCTTGGCTACATTATGTGTCTGTAACTGCACAATCAAATAACAGGAGAAGAAATCACCATCCCTGTCCAGATAATTTCAAGATACGTGATCTCCCCTTCTCCTTTCCTGCTGACCATTGGGATTTTTGTTGTTGTTAGTTGTGAAGTTGACCCCATGGACAACATTCCTCCAGACCCTCCTGTCCTCCACCATCCCCCGGAGTCCACTTAAGCTCACTCCAACTGCTTCAGTGACTCCATCCAGCCACCTCATTCTCTGCCGTCCCCTTCTTCTTTTGCCATCTATTGTTCCCAGCATGAGGGATGAGGTTATGTAAAACCTTAGATTAAGAATAGGCAATGAAGAGTCCATATGCACCTGTGTGCCTCTAGACACCTTTCTTGGTGGTTATCAAGGTGCCCTACACCTATTTTTAAAAATTTTTCTTACCAGCTGCTTGGATTTTTTGAAATAGGTATCTGTTGATGCTGAAAATACGGGGTCAAATGAGTTGTTTAGTGTGTTATCCCATGTTCTTATCCCTTACAAAAAATGTTGGCCTTAATCCTTTCTCTCTTTCCAAATCGAGCTAATCACTGAACCTCTGAATCTGGAATCTCTCCATTCCTTTCCTCTCTTTCAGTGCAAACAAGCAGTGACCAGTTACCTTACCAATTTCATTTAGAAACTCTTCCTCCTTCACTGTGTTGTCTTACTTCCTTTAAAGTGAATGGTGCTTTGGCTACTTCTTTAGTCCCTGTTGTTGCAGCTGCTGCTTGCACTGAAATTCCAGTGAAGTGGATGGAGGGACACCAAACACCTATCACCATAACTCCTGAATGCCCCACTGAGTTCCAGCTGGCCTGTCCTCAACCTGAAGGCCAGGTTTATTTGACACCTCATGTCAAAAATGCCTAAAAATAGTGTTTAACCCTGATCTAAATACAAGATTTTGTCTATTACTTAAACAACTGTTCTCAGTAAAAGATTTTGCATTAGTCACATACTTTTTTTTTCCTTCAGATATATAGATATTTCCCAGGATTTGACTGGTTTTTCCTTGACCCCATAACATCAAGTGGAATTAAGTTTGCGAATGATGAGAAGTAAGTCAATATTCGGTTAAGGAATCTTCTGTTTTCCTTCCTTTCTGCCTGAGGCTTCCAGTCACAGCCTTGCAAGTGGAATGGTGCTATCATGTTCCCAAAACTTTCACCCACTCACCTCTCTGCCTTTCCCAGCATCTCCATGTTGGCTGCCTTGGCCTCAAATAGCAAAGTTGCTAAGAGCTAGGAGCTCCTTGTCCCAAGCACACCAGACAAATAGTGGTGTATGTGATGTTTTGCGCACTCTACCGGGGAACCCCTGAGGGCTTTCTGCCTTCATACCAGTCTTTTGTTTCCTGACTGTCTTTACTTAGACAATTCAGATTTATAAGATCTATTTCATGGTACTTCATTTTAATTGGAGAGCAGATTTTTGGGCGTTTTCACTTTTTTCCCCTAAGTGAAACTAATGCGAGCAGAATATTTTTGGAAATAAAAGCAGATTTGATTCTGGGTTGCTGCTGCTGCTGTTTTGGAGACAGTGTACCAGAGTTAAATACAAAACACTGTCTGGGTCCACATGACCACAGAGGATGCATATGGGAATTTGCATTCTTATCCTCATTGATGTAGCTTCCCATACCATGGAAACCTGGCAAGGGTGGCTTGTGGCCAAGCTTATCAAACTGGGGCAGTATCTACTGGGGCATTTATGCCTTTGCCAATTCCCTTCCACACCACTGATTCCGTCCATAATGGGGTCTCACTGATTCAGCTACACCAGCGGGACTCGCTGTTTATGCCACAAAGATTCGGTGCTTGCAGGAAGAGGGCAAAAATAAGCTGAAATGCTCGTTTCTGGATTGGGGCATATAGTTTATTATTTATGCCATCCCTTAACATGAAGGTTCTCTGGGTGGCTTACAATGCTAAAACAAAATAAAAATATATGTACAATGCAATAAAACAATTGATGTTCTAATAAAATAGATAAAATCATAAATACCATGACATAATAAAATATATCCACACACACCAGTAAGCACAACCAATAAATGAACCAAAATTAAAATAAATAATCCATAACAAGGAATAAAATAAAATAATGAAAAATTTGTTTAAATAAAGTTTTCACTTGGTGCCTCAAAGAAAGAAGAGTTCCTGGGGAGTATATTCCTCCCATATACCATATATTCCCGGGGAGTGAATTCTTTAGTCTAGGCACGACTGCTGAGAATGCCTTCCTCCTAGTCCAGGGGTCCTCAAACTTTTTCCAAAGGGGGCCAGTTGACAGGTGCCAGTGGTGGGCGTGGGCTGCCAAGGCGGTGCAGATGGGGTGTGCAGGCTGGTGAGGGGGTGGGGCGCATGTGCACACGAGGCAAGGTGGGGACGGGGGTGCACGGGGCGAGGCACCAGCTTGCTCAGGAGGAGATTGAGTCCAGAATGACCTCCCAGCGAGCAAGCTGCCTCCGGGTGCACACACAGCGAGGTGCCAGCTTGCTCGTGAGGACTTTGTTTTCTCTGAGCTAGTCCAAAACGACCTCCTCGCGAGCAAGCCACATGCCCACCTGCGTGCAGGCCTGGTGAATGCAAAACCTGTGGGGGAGCAGTTGAATGGCCATGGTGGGCTGGATCCGGCCCGTGGGCCTTTGAGGACCGATGCCCTAGTCCTCCTCCCACTTGGAGGAGGACTTCCAAAGAAGATATAAGTGGACAGGTAGGAATATGTGGAGAAAGGCACTCCCTCAGGTACCAAATAGTTGGAACTCCTTTAGATGTGCTTTGCTGAGCTACTGTGTTCCAGAGATTATTTTGGGTTTCTCGTAGAAGTGTTGACATCACTTCTTGTTGCACAGGGGATGCGAACTGTTCAGCACAGTGGGATGGATGGGGTGCAAAAGAATCAGCAGCACTATGAGTCCCTGTTGTTTATTGCCTTTGGAACCTAAAGCAGATCTTGAGTTCTGGTTAGCATGTTAACCCCCCTGTCCAGGTGTGCCTGGACCTGGCATGCACCATGAAGCCATAAGCCTGCACATCTTATTTTCCTCTTCTGTGACTGTGCAAACAGGCCCACTGTGGTTTAAGTAACATTTGTCAGAAAGTAATTTTAAATTGGTGGATTTAAAATATATATTTTAGCAATGTTATATCTCGTATTTTTTTACAGTGTAAAGCACATTTCATGCTCTCTGCTTATTCTTCATGCTGAAGATGATCCTGTTGTTCCATTTCATCTTGGAAAGAAGGTATGCTTCTTTAGGTTTAGTCCATCAACCCTACCCCTGAAGGTATAAATATTCTGAATAGATTAGACAGTAAGGATCGCCTCAGTTGTAAGTAATTCAGGCTCTGCATGCCAGACTACACGTAATATATGAATGGGTGTAGTCTTGATTGCTGTTACTTTTCAGTGGAAACCCAGATTTGGCATTTTCGGTGGGGAGATGGTAGGAGAGAGAGTGCTTCACTTTTTCCTTGCCTCCTCCTTTTATTCTGCAGTTCCCATTCAGTAAGCCATTGGCAAATCTGCTTTGCCTCCCAAGTAGCACTCATCAGGGTTTATACTCTTTGCCTTTAATGCATAATTCAGCCCTGAGCCAGGACATGGCGAAACGGAACTGCTTTGTAGGGAGATTCTGGCTTTGCATTCCTCTTTTACTGTGCTCCCTCACCGCACTCCAGAGCTGCAGCCCTGCCTGTCATGTCACTGTTATTTAAATATGGACTCTGTGATCTCCTCCTCCAAGCTTTGCATGAAGGGCTTATGAAGCGGAGAGAGCATGTTTTGTTCCACAGAAAAAGGAACAAAGCAGAGGTTTAAAAAAGAATATATGATTGTGATTTTTGTGCTCCCCACTAATCAGTGTGCATTAATTATCGCTTCCTTACTTAATCATCTAGCACAGAATTGCTGATATTGGCCGGATAGGGTTGGCATCTGTCCCATGTCTTGAGTTAGAAACTTCTAGTTTTAGCTTCTTGAGGCTCAAGCTTCAAGGAGGTTGCCTCTTTGTATCTGACAGGCCAGGGACTTGCCTGCTTAGGCGTGAGGAATGCAAGCTATAGTTTTAAACTGTATGCTGTGTGTGAGCTTTCATTACTTGCCCTCTGCAGCATGTGTCAGAAAAAGCTATGGTTTCATAAGGCAAGCCTTCCTATTTAGCAAAGATCACATGTGTTTCCTTGCTAGAAAAACCTGGCTGTTTCTTTAGGGTGTGTACAACTTAAATTTGAATGGATTCGAATATCTACTTCAAGTATACGTTTGAAGAGTAGGTTTACATATTATCTTTTACTTTTCCACCAAAAACCAGACTGCAACTCTAACCAAATGGTGAATAATATTGACAATAATTTATTTATTATATTTCCATCTTACCCTGTTGCTGTAAGGAACCCAAGCCAGCTTACACAATCATTCTTTTCTCCCATTCCATTTTATCCTCACAACAACGCTGTGAAGTAGCTTAGACTGGCAGTCAGCGACCTTCCCCAAAGGTCACCCAGTGAGCTTCATGGCTGAGTGGAGATTAGAACCTAGATCACCTGAGTTCTGGTCCAACTCTCTTACCACTATACTACACTGTCTCTTTTTAATTTTGAATCATTTTGATTAGCTTTTGAATGTGTACCTTCAGTGTGTGCACTTGTCTATATTGGAGACTGGCATTTAAGATACATCGAATTGCTGTATTGTCTGTATCAAAGGTGATTATAGAAATGAGCACCATTGCTATTCTTTGTACTATTTCTATATAGTTGAATTATATATCACTGTATTTCACCAATTTGCATGTACTTTGGAATTTTTTACAGTTATACAACATTGCTGCCCCATCTCGGAGTTTGCGTGATTACAAAGTACAGTTCATTCCTTTTCACACAGACCTAGGCTATAGGCATAAATACATCTACAAGAGCCCTGAACTACCTCGAATATTACGGTAATTGAACAGATCATTCATAATGTGTACCATGCCATTAGTTGTGTTTCCACAGGATGATCTAAAAGGAGTTGTAATTCATGATGGACATGGATGAGAGAGGGAGAGAGTATATGAAACTTGGAGTCATTTCCCTGTGTCCCAGTTTTATTTTAATGCACCATTCCCCAATCCAGGTCTCTCCAGATGCTTTGGGCTGCATCTGCTATCAGCCCTAGCCAGCATGGCCCCAAGGAAGATGAGAGCTGTAATCCAAAATTTCTGGAGTGGCTCAGGTTGGGAAAGACTGCTCTAGAGGGTGACTGCAGTTACCCCTAGATAGAGTCTTATTCATTTTGTCAAATTCTGTTTATTAATTGATTTGCTGTGAAATTCTTGAAACAATTTACAGAAAAAATAACCCTGAAATTTCAGTGTCTATTTTTTCCAGGAGTTATTAAAATATTGATCAGTATAAAAATAGAAATGTTTTGAATATATCTTGAGTCACTCCAGTTATCCAGGCTTAAGTGATGTCCAGATTAGATTCCTGAAACATGTTGGGTTGCCTTTTGAGAACTCTTCAGAAAGTTCAGCTCCTTCATTATAATATACTATAATGCATGATTGCAGCATGTTTTGCCAGCATTACATCATCATTAGCGTCCATCTTATTTCCTTGTACAATTGAGTACTGATTGGTTCTAACTTAGTGGCTTGTGCAATTGATAGCTGGTTATTAAGCCTGCCTGTGTTAGCTAACTAACTTTGATGTCCTGTATTCAGACCTTACAAGAAACAATGGTTTGTTCTATTTCACATAAAGAGGTATTTGATAATTTCCACTCATAAGTGAAGAAATGTGAGGGAGTGCAGTTATATTCTCATGGCAACAAGCCAGTTTGCTGTAATCCCTTGGAAAATTTAAAAATGATTAAATTTAGAGAAAAAATCAAGAGGGAAAATGTAAATACAAATAACAAATTCAATATATTATAATGTTTAGATAACAATATAATCTAGGTTAACAAAGATTACAGGCGTAGTATTTAGTAAATATTATGAACAAAAACATTAAAGAGAAACTGAAAACCAAAACCCACTTTATTTATTCCTTCTTTCTTTATTGTAATTTGTTATAAATACAAAGCAAACAGTTTTATGAAATTAGGCACCTGACTGCAGCTAATGGCTTAGACAGATGCTATTCTAAGTGAACATGTAGAATGGCATTTTGGTACCTCCCCTTTCCTGTTGTAGCCTCCTCCATGTCCTGAAGAGTCTCTCTTTTGAGTTGAGTGACCTTCTGGAAAACTGGGATAGTACAGGAGACAACTGATTTCTCTTGCAAAAGCAGCAACAGAATTCTCTTTTTGTGTGAGTGCCTTCACTCCCTTAGGGGCATCTTTTGTATTCTGGAATCTTTGAGTGGAGGATCTGAGCTAGCATGACACGGAGAGGGCTTGGAGAGCTCCTGTCTTGGAATAGATACTTCTAGGATAGTTGGACCAATTGTCTGAGTATGACAGTTCATCATATCTTACAGAACTTGTATGGAATAATTATACAAACTGTATTTTTACTCATTCATTCACCCTAGATAAATTTGGCAGAAAATAATGTTTTCTCCTCTTTGTTTGTGTGAGTAACCCTGTCAAAGTGCCTCTTGTTCATTTACTAATGCTTAGGTTTTGTAAAGAATTTGTCATGGTTGCTCCCCAATTAAAGAGGTCAGCTAGACCTAATTTTTCTAAACAAAATACAAATCTTATTTTTTAAAAAAAATGAGGCAAGCTATTTGGAGGCCAAACATGGGAGTTCCTTTAATTATTGTACAGATTTTTCAAACTGAAGTGAGGTGAAAAAGGAAAGGAAATAAACAAAATACCAAAGCAATGCTGTCTCTTCCGGAACAGTGATGCCCCAGAATAATTCCAAGTCTTTGCATTTATATACAGCTTTTCCTGAGTTTCCAAAATTCATCACAAGTACAATTTCTGCAGTCTTTATATTATCCTTATAAAGTAATTGAGTAGTGTTGTATTACAGTTGAGGAAGGCACATCTGTTCTTTTTTTAATATGTGGGTTCAGTGGTGATTCGTATATTTAATAGTATTTAAAATGTAAATAACAATTTACATATAATGGATCAGGAGATACATTGCTGTCCCTTGAAAAGATTCATAATTTAAATGATGAATACAATGTGTGCATTTTAAGAATGATCAGTATATGCCAGCTGCCTGACTGAAGGCCACATTATATGTGATGAGTGCAGCTATGTACCTGTGCATGTCTGTGCATTTTTATGCTTATTTAAAGCAAGAGTGGGTTGATAGTTGATTTCTTGCATAAAAAGGGTTATGTAGGTTCATCACTCCCCTAGAAGTGCTCAGATATTGGAAATGAATCAGATTGGGAAGAAGGACCTGAAGCTTATGGAGTAAATAAGGCAAGAAAGGGTTCCCTTTTCATGTTACAACCAGACATCTTTCCCCTGCTCCCTGCTTTATTAATGAATTTATTGTTTATTTAAAGCTTTTGTATATCATCCTTCACTAAAAGTCCCAGGACAGTAGTACAGTGAAATAAAAGTACAGCTTCAGACAACAACTTCAGATAAAACCCCATCTTAAAACATGAATGGGGCAGGCATGTTCACATGGCTGCACTTTCATACTGTCTAGCTTGGCTCTGATAAACTGATATACCCGCTGTTTTTCATATCGGTACACATGGGTAGGTGAACATTTCTTCCCAGGACACATCCATGATGTTTCAGCATATCGTAGTTTCCTTCCCAGCTAAACTGCTGCACAAATTCAAACACTTATCTTTCCATCTATATCAGAGTTGATCTGGTCACAAACTACCTTTTTTTTCTTTCCTAGGGAATTCCTGGGAAAATCTGAACATCACCACCAGCATTGAACGCTACTTGCATGGTAGACTTAAAATTGTGTCATCTTAAAAGAAAAGAAAGCAGGGGAGGTCTGCCATTATTTTAAATCCAGGCACTGGATAACTCACAGGTTCCTGCTTCAGTTGTAATACATACCCTTGGAATCCCAACCCTTGGGGCAGTAGATGCGAGAAGAACTAACTTTGATGGCTTCTGTTCTCCCTCCTCCCTTTTTTCTTTCTTATAAAGAAGTAGAGATCCAAACAAGTTGGAACAGTTAAGTTCAAGCACAAGAAAGACTTGGCAACCCCCCTCCAAAAGTTATGAACATTCCTACAGATGTGTGTTGGGTCTCTACAGCTCTTTACAAGACAAAACTTGCATTCTAAGATGAAGATGAACTGGATTATCTGCAAAAATGTAACTCTTAAATTCTTTCAGTGCTGCATCTAGTTTACCTAGGTTTCAGGTTGTTCCCGTACAGAAATAAATTTAGTGAGGGATGTTTTTCTCCTGTCGGTTATCAAATTGGGGTGTTGCTGAAGATAATGATTTGTCTTGGTTTTAAACATCATTTGAGAAAGCGCTTAAAATACTTGCAACAAAACATTTCAGAATGAAATGAAGGATGTTTGTTCTTTAAAATGACTGATAATTTAATAGCGTTTTAATTTTCCATTCTTTCTTGCCTTGCTTTCAAATTTCAAAGCTGTCTCCATATATAGATAATATATAAACATCTTTGCTATGCCTCATATATAGGCACATCATCACTGAGATTTTCTGATTTCTGAACCATTTCCTTTAGAAGTATAGATCCCTTCAGTGATCTAATATATATTGATTACAAATTATACACTGAAATGGTTGTTTAAAGGACTCCTTTTAGTAAATGGAGGATATCTTTAAACTGAGTCTAGAATCGATGGGGAATTTATTTTTCCACTAATGTAAAAAGGTCTTCCAGTCTCCTCTAATCATAGAGGGACATACAAGCACTTTGGGGCAAGTAAACTGAAAAACATTTTTAGTAATCATGATTCTTCACATCCCTAGACAAGCTATTTCCTTAAAAATACTCAGGTACATTTCAGCTGGTCAAACGTTTTCTTTCTTTTTAAATACATGAGAGATAATATAAAAATGAACTCTTTGATCTGCTTCACATGTTCACTACAGACCACTGTGGCTTGTTTAAGCCTGGCATGTGCCTGGTGGTATTTGAATGTTCATGCCATAGCCAGTTTGTCTCATCCAAACCAGCCATGTGGGTTCTATGAAGATTGTTTCAGTGCAGCCCACTGTGGCTAATTTGATCATGTGAACTAGACCTTTAACTCAACCTTTTCTAATATTTTCATAGGGAATAAAGCTATCGCTTTCTTCTTCAGAAATGATAAACATGTTATCAATTGTATATAAAACCCCAAATTTTATCCAGACCAACCAAAAGTGTTGAATGCTGTCCATTAAAATGATTCCTTGCTGCTGAATATATTAAATATTGATTTTAGTTTAATATTTATATTATTAAAAGCCAGAGCTATATGAAAACTTTCTGACCAGTCTTGAATGTTCCCCTTAGTTAGTACAGCAGTGGGTTTTTTTTCTTTTTACTGTAGCAAAGCAATTCTTGTTCTGAAATTTAGCAAATGGTAACTCATGGTAATAAATATTGAATCTGATTTTCATGTTCTTCTCTATTATCGACATTGGCCAAATCATTATACTTCATGAAATCACTCATGAAACAGCTTCTTATGCTAGATTCATCAACAACTTAGTTTAATAAGTTATGATATGTACTAACCATGATAAGTCCTGTACCTGCAAGCAGCTGCTTCATTTGTCTCTCCATATGAGTAGCAAAACCATCCAGGAAGCCCTACAGTTAACTCTACATCTGAACAAGCAAATCATGATTGATGGTTTCCAAACAAGCAAGAACATGAAACAATGATTTGAAGTAGGTTTTCATAACCTGACTTGTTTGAAATCTACTAACCATAGTTCTTGGTATGGTTATAATACTTGCATAGTTTGTGGGACTCTACAGTGGTTAACTGAGGGTTCAGGACTTGCTCATTCATTTTCTTATGCAAAGGCAGAAACAAGGCTCTGGGTGTTTGAATATCATTCATATCTTGACTAATTAATCTGAGATCTGGTCATGGTTTTGTGGTGAGAGTACCAGGCAATGTACAGATGGCGATACTTGCTTAGGTAATACCATAATTAATTTTGCTGTTACCCATATATTGTGTTTCCTGTTTGCTATTCATTAGTCCATTTGTATTGGGAAGATTGACAACCACTTTAATGATCTCTGAAGGTACTTAAAAGAGATGGTGCAAAGCTAGATATTGAGATCACAGCTGGCTTCCAGTTCCCTGTGGCTCTTCCTGAACCTTCCATTTCTTCCCCCTCTTGGCACTGCTCCTGTAAAACTAAACATGAGTTCAGGATACTCTTCTACCTACATGATTCTGAGTCACCATTCATGGCAGCCAACTTGAGACATTATGAGTAGTAAGAATCCTAGGCAGTGTAGCTGTCTGGCCCAAGCTGATTACAGTGGTCCTATGTTTTGTGAAGATGACCCTGAAGTGTCTCATTCTATGAACATTCTATAAACAATGGGCATGGTAGTCTTAGAAGCTAATTTTAGAAGTGATTTTTTCAGTCTGAAGTATATTGAGGGTACTGTTCACTAATATTGTCTGTAAATGAAATACTCTGGTTTTGCATGCACTGAAAACATGTACCTTACAATTTCATCATATTTGCAAAGCAGACAGTAGCTTGTTCTTTGCATTGAGACTTTCTGCTGCAGAATGGGCAATCAGGGTTTTGATTCACAATTAACCTCTGTGTAAACTGTGCCACATAAAATTCCATATTTTCTCTATACCCCATATGCTTAGGTTTACTGCACTAACAAGGACACTATTTTGGCTCTTTAGAGGAAACAAATGGAACATTCCATCTAAACATTGCTGCTGTTGTCACTGATGTTAGTATTGACAAAAGTACGAACTGATGTGGAAATGTCAATTCCCATGCAACAAAAATTAGATTCCAAAGCATGCACTAGTGCTGGTTAACTTGATACATACTTTCCAATTATTAGGTCAGTAACATGCATTGAAATTGAAGTGTTTCTCTAAAAAGTATGTAGTTTTAATAAAACAAAACATTCTGACTTTTTTCTGATAGCCTGGTTTTGTTTTTTAATGCATTATGGTTTTTGGCATCTCCAGATACGTCCAGGAAAATGAGACCAAAAAGGCAAGTAGAATTGTAAAATGGCTGACATAACCAGGAAGAATCCAAAGAACTTCATTTCTAGGTATAAGGATAACGAGGCTTACATAACTGGGTTTTCCTGGTGCAGATCTGGCACCACCCCTCAAAAACAACTTTAACCAGTAAGGAGATCAGTTGGGGATAAGTAGAAATTGGTGGAACTCTGACATGTGCCTGCACAAAAGATTCTGGCTCCTGGGTCTATGCTAAAAAAAGGTTGTGTTGAAATAAATCACAGGAAAAATGAATTAAGTAACCAATCCCATGAGATTCATTACAGTCACAATCCTGACAACTTTTCATGACAAATTCTGTACTCTGAATGGCTTTGGCAAAGCATTTCTCAAAGTGATGCCTTGTGCTGTGTAGCAACCCCCTTTTTGCAACTCACATTTCATTGTGGATGTGGGTTTTGCTCCTTGGCAATGCAGTGATGCTTCAGTCTCTCTCTGCCTTGCAAGGTACCGTTGTGATACCTCCCAGTCTTGGTCCATAGGGGTTGAGGGGTGGGTTCTCAAGAGTCCTCCTCTCCCGATATACAACCTGCCATCTGGACCTCCTCCTGTGCTCCTGGGAAGACCTGGAGCATTTTGCATCATGGGACTGGGTGCTACCAAAAGCAGTGATGGTGGTGACAGCTGAGGCGACTCCTGCCGGGGAGTGGCTGTGCCATCACGAGAAACGAGACAGGGAGGATGTCAGTGATTGTGCAGTTATATGAGCCATCTTCAACTTCTTTGTCAGCTTGGCTGCAAGATCTGGCCTTCAGGGTAGCACAACCTGCCATTGGTGGTGGGTCTTGAAGAGTCAATAATAGGTGTGGGACCGCTGACTAAATCATGGCAACCAGAGCTGTTGGTAGGATGGAACCTGTTAAGATGGTACCAAAGCCAAAGTGGTACCAAAACTGTAGTAAAAGTTGGCTTGAAATACATTTGGAGTGGGCATGAGTCTCACTGCTTTCCTAAGTCAGCCATTCATAGCCTCATTCCGACAGTGCTGTGCAAAGACAAGAGAACTATTCTACACATTCTTAGCAAATTTTCTGTGATGTTACAGGATTCTACCACACATCACTCCACACAGAAAGGCTGGAATGTGGCCACCTGTCAGTAGTAGTTCATCCCCACAATCTGCAAGTCTACAGAAAGGCCCTGTAAGGCTGCTGAAAGGGATTCACAAAGGTGGCAACACAGTATGTAAAACCATTAAGAAAGAGAATTAACAAAAATAGAAAATAGGAGGAGAAGGAGGAAACTGCTGAACAAAGCTCAACTTGATCTCTTTCTGTACCATCAACCACTGTATTCTGGATAGGCTGAACTGGGTACTGGAGACATTGCAGTGGTTCTACTAAGACAGCCAACTCTACAAGGCAGTGTGTGTGTGTGTGGGGGGGGGATTATGGCTCTGTGTCTTGGCAATCAAACTCTTATTTATTTAAAGTTTTTATATGCCATCCCCTTGCTACAGAGCCTCGGGATGGCTCACAGAAATAAATAAAACAATTACAAATTAAAACTCTTCACTTTTATTGTTTTATTGCCTGTGCTGTTTGACATCTACTGGGCCGGAATGTGAGCCGAGATGTTACCAGTATCATTATTATTACATTGCATTTATATCTCACTTTTTCCCCTCCTCAGAGCTGTAGAGGCCCTATTAAAATGTGTTTTCATGGCATGTCTGGTACCCTCCCATGGGTAGTGCATTATCGTTCACCAAATGCAAACAAAGTGAAGTTCTTTGGAGTGCCATAATGATTTGTCCTTCACTTACAGAGCTGAAAGAGGGCTTAATGAATACCCAGCTGAATTTTTTCCTCAGAGAGGCTGCTCTGTATCACAGCACGTTACCTGGAAAATCAAAGTACCTGCCCTGAGAATATGCAGCCATTGTTTTCATCACCTGTAATCCCATCAATTGGTTATAAAAAAATAAAATATTATTACAAATTCCAGAGGGTCCTATTAGAATAAGGAATTGGCTTCCAAGGGAGGTGGGTGAGGCCCCATCAGTGAGGGTATTCAAGGAATGACTGGGCAACCAGCTGGAGCCGGGAGTCAGACTAAATGGCTCAGGTGACCTCTTCTGACATGCTTTGCTTCTGTGTTTCCATTTTACAGAGTACCATCCAGTAGCTGAAGGGCTGTCTTGTTCAGTTCCATTGAACCATAAGAATTTTTGCCAGCATATTTAAGAGGGAGGGGTCACCTGGGCACTATGCTGGGATGTGCTGCATTTCGTTTACAAGCATGTCTCAGTTTGGTTATATGCATATAAATTAGCATATGCAAATCAATGTCCTTTTGGTCTCTTTTGTAGGGAAGCATTTTGCCTGTTTTGATGATGCTGAAGTAGCAAGCCTGAAGCATTAATAAGTCTTTTCCCCATATTTATCATAACTACTGTAAATGGTTTGTTATGCCCATTTTATGTATTTATTATATTTATAACCTGCCTTTTTAAAGGCACCTCAAGTGGCTTAGTTCTCTCCTTCCCCTTTTATCCTCACAGCAATCCTGTGAGGCAGGTTAAGCTCAGGGGTAGCAACTGACCCAGTGGGTTTTATGGCTCAGTAGGGAGTAGAACCCAAGTCCCAGCCCAGCATTCTGATCGTTGCATCTTGTTAGACTCTTTTCTAAGATGATTTCATGAACTGGCTTTTGCTTAGCTTGATCTAAACTTAACGTTAGATGCAGTTTTTCAATATTCTTATTATTAAGAGAACACCAAAGATCTGAATCAAATCCATTTTTTTAAACTGAGGCTGTATTAGTTTTATTTGTATGGTTGGTTGACTGAGGTTGGTGATGATGATGAACACAAGATTTCTGGGCTGCAGCCTGCCTTAGCAGACACATTAACGATTAACTCTTACCCTCAGTCTGCTGATCAGCATAATGTGAGGTGGGACTGATCATCTCAAAACAGCCCTGGCTTCTCTTCCTAAAACCTGCTTCCTACTTATCTGTTTACAATTGTTATCCTGGAATATGCAAAACAAAATCTGTTAAGGATGTTTTGACAAGAGTAATGCGGCTGACCAAATCAATAGAACACTTATGTTGGGACTCACCTGAGCAAAGCCCGACTGGATCCACGGACTGTCCAGTCATGATCAGCATTCTCTTTTCAATTGTATGTTTCCATAAACATTCACCAGCAGGACATGATGGTGGAAGGCCTTCCTCCTTTTGTTTTGTTTTGTTTTGTTCCAAGTTCCTGGCAATTGGACTCAATTCTGTCTCTGAACACAAAGATGTCATTCTTAGCTTCTGTGGCCAATGCACAGATCCAGCCTCCATTAATTTGTGCTGGAGGCTGTGCACTCTGCTCCACAGCTGGAGCTTGATCACTGCTAACAATCTTTCCTTGTAGGATGCTAACCCTACACAAGTATTGGATGCATTTAAAGAATACATACAGGGGTGTTTTCAGAGTAGGACTTAGGGCAACAGGCCCCTTTTCAGTAGAAAGCCTAGAGGGGTCCCCATATATAGTAATGCCGGATGCCTAGCATCTGAAGGCTCTACCCATTAATGCCATGCTCTGGACAGAAAAAAGTCCTACAAAATCATATTGGCTGCAAAATGCTGAGAATCAGGATTCCATATTTAGCCACCGTGTTATACCCAAGTTCCAAAGACAGCAATTCTATCTTTGGACAAGGGACAAGAAATACACAACATGTTTATGGATGTTTCTGTGATTTTTAATAATGTTCAAAGCACGGGAGTAACAATAATATTGTAAACACACACACATGCAAACTCAAAGTCCCACAGATAGTCCTGAAAGTAGTATGATAGTGATCGACATTTATTTTGCAAGCAGTGGAACATTTCTGTCAGAACTTAGGTCACCCACTTCGGCATCTTGCAGGCCACTCCTTGGGAGACAGTAACTTGTGAGAAGGAATCACAATATTGAAATAAGGACCTTGGAAATAGTTCTGCTTTTGCCGTTTTCAGCTCAAACTGGAAAGGGGCCCATTTTTCTGCATATTTTTGGAAAAGTGCATACTTTCCTTCACCCCTTTGACTAAAATGTGAAAATGTGTAGACTTTTTAAAGACGAGCGTGAATTTCAAGGTGTGTGTTTTTAATGGGAGGGAGGGACAGAGGGAAGGAAGGAAGGAAGGTATAGGGGTCCTACTCACAGTTAGATTGCAAACAGGACATGCTTGCATGATTTGCGAACAAAAATTAAATTCTTGTACATCCCTAATTCTTTATAATGGCCTCTAAGAACACAGCATAATGCACACAAGAAACAGGAATGTCTGTATGGATTTTATGCTCAAGTCTTGATATAAGCCTTCACTATCAGAAATAAATAACTTTCCCAATTGCATAAAGTAGATCTAAATTAGAATAATGTAACCCCCTCTCCTGGCATTTCTTCAGAAAAACGTTCTCTTTAAAAACAGAGAAAGGACATTTATAATGCAGGCTATATTTGTCTATTCAGAAGCAAACCCTATTGTTTTATGGGGCTTATTCCCAGCTGAATGTATACAGGGCCACAGCCTAAATGTTCCTTTCTCTGGAGTTCAAAATGAACAAAGTCCGACAATGTCCTATAAGCACTGACATGTTATCAACCTATCCACAAAACCAGTAAGGATGGGTTTTTACAGGATTCCAATTAAAAAAGCAAAAACTGTGGTCTCTCAAAACTTACAGTTGAGAAAATAAATAAAAAGCCTATGACGTTTATACTCCAGTCCATCAAGTACATTATGCACTCCTGCTGCTGAAAAGTTTCTCCCATTCACTTCAGTGGACAGACAGATTTGGACATGCAGAAGAAGACACACGGAACGATTAGAATAGATCGTGTCTTGTGAGTATCAGGGCGATGGCTGAGGCTAGCCCTTGTCTCCAGTGTCCTTAAGGCTGACTTACCTGTGCATTGTCATCAGCCAATGACTGCAATGCCAAGTCAGGTGCGCATGTATGAATGGGTCACTGCAAGTCATCCAATACTGGAAGGCAAACTGCTGATGAAACAGAATTCTCCTTCCTGCAGCACCACCCCTCCCTGAATCTACGCCAGAAATGTGAGGGGCCTCTTCAGCAGATTTGAGGGGAACAAGGCAAAGAGAAGTCTGCTTCCAGGCCACCAAATGTAGCCCTCTGAAAGGGCTATTCTATTCAAATGCCTTTCCTTGCTTGCAATAAACTTGCAGTAAAACCGTCACAATTTCTATGGGACTCTGTAAATCACATTTGCAAAGAAAATCTGGAAGGGATTTTTATGGCCTTACAGCAACCTAAGCAGGTAAAAACTGCTCATTCTTAACGTTCAGTATTTTTGGCATGCATTCAGTCTGCTGACACCTATAGCTGGGAGGGATACCTCTCTCTCATTCAACTCCCATGTCTGACCACAAAAGCAGCACACTTTTCTAACGAATTGTAGAAAATTAGCCTCAAGATTACACTAAAATTAGTATTTGATATTTGAAAGTAAGTATTTAAATGCTTGCCAGTGTTCCCTCCTCCATCCCTCCGTGATCTCCCCCTTTTCAACTCAGCAAGGAGCCTGTGGAAAGGGTAGGGAGAGCTGGACTTTTCCAGCCAGCCTCCCTAAGAACGGCTGGGGGTGGGCATCTCCTCTCCTCTGCTCTGCATGTGACCTTAAAGGACTGCCTTCTCCCATGTGGGCTGTCCATCAGTTGAGGTCAGGAGGAGGCCATCTTGCTTATTTCTGTGCCATCCGAAGTCGCCGTGCAGGTAACTAGATGGGAGGAAGCTTTTCTGTGGTGCCCTTCCAACCCTGGAATCATTTTTAAGGAACCAGGCTGACACTGACCTGTTTTCCTGAGCCTTTAATTACCAGTGATGTTTGTCTCCTTCCATAGTTTGCATTTTTGAATGTGCTTTAAAATTTATTATATCATTTTGTATTAAATTCTTTTGCCTTCCAAGGAACCCAAAGCGGCTTACGTAATTCCCCTCCTTTCAAGCTTAGCCTCACAACAATCCTGTGAGGTAGGTTAGGCAGGGAGTCTGTGACTGGTCCCAAGTCACTCAGTGAGTGAGGCTAGAACACAGATCTCCTGAGTCGCAGTCACCGCTACACCACTGGATATTAATCTTTTTTAAGACTGCAAGCCACTTTGTGCATTTTTTCTAATAAATAAGTAGGATTTTCATTTGTTTGTAAGGAAAGAAATATAACCACATCCCTCACTTTGCAGCTGTCCAGTGGGAAGGACACAAACAAACATAATTCCTTCCCCATTAATGGTCTTTGATCCCTCCATTTCTGACATGGTTCACTTCTCAATGGGTACAAGATGATGCGGGAGGAAGATGTGCTTGGATCATTTCAAAGCAACCCTCTCTAATCTGATGTCCCTCAGATATGTTGGACTTGCCACCTCCCACATGACAACATGGCCAATTACCAGCCTTCATCTGGCTATACTTCAACACTTCTGAAGAGCATCAGGTTGGACTCTACCACTAGGTTACAAAAAGAACGTGTTATGTTCATATGCTAGAGAAATCTTTGCCATTTTCTGCCCCACCTTTCCTTGACTATCTTTAACTTGATCATTCCCTATAAAGTGTATTCTAAACAACATTCCAGAATCCTTTGCAGCAAGTTGGGTCAAGATGGCCTCTGAAGTATTCCCTGATGGCGAAAGTTTGGAAAACACTGATGTATGCAATGAAGCTATTCAGATTGTATCTCAGCTTATCAAACCAAGATTTGCATGAGTCCTTTGCCAGTTCATGCAGGCCTTTCATTCCTTCTTTTGTAGCATGCAGCCACCAGACGAGGAAGCTCCAATTAACCATGACTTCCCACTTCATCCAAACCAGTTTTGGAGCAAGCCAAATGCTTATCAGTTTTGGAGCAAGCCAGAATCCTAAACCAACTTTAAACTATATTGACTTTTTTTGAAGCTGGTAACCATATTTTCCCAGTTCATACAAACCAGTAGACCATGGTTAATGGGTGACCTCCTGGTTTGAGGGCTGCATGTTGTGAATGAACCCTCAAAGGGGCTAAGTCCATGGACAAAATGTCTGCAAATATCTTAGCTCATTGCAGAGATATGATCACCTGAAGTTGCTGGACTGATTTATCCAACAATCCAAGGATTTAACCCCTCAACCATACAATAGAAACTGGAGTGTTTAATTTGCCAATAGAAATCCTGACTGTAGATCTTTTGCCTGTGACGCCACAAAGCTGCACTGATGGCTAAAATATGAAATTGCACAGAATGCCATAGAAAGGGCAACCAAGGGAATCGGTGCCCAGATTCCTTCCCCTCCCCTCCTGTCACCAGTGCAGCAAGAACCAAGGGGCGGCTCTCCAAGTTTGGGAAAACAACCTCTGCCAGGAAGGGGTGGAAAGGGAGAGGGGAGGGGAGGGGAGGGGACAGGAGGTGTTCAGATGATGCTCCAGCCTCTCTCTGAGGCACTCCTGATAGACCCATCCAGCCACTCATGCAAGGCAGGAGAGGGGACGATCTGCCATTCCTGCTACTCTGCACAGGGTGTCTGTTAGCCTCTAACTCCAAGGCTGATGGGTGTCCTAATAGGGCTGCGTGCTAAAGGTGTTACGCACATTCATAATGTTGTCATGCTTTACGGAATTATAATACAACCAAGTGCGGCTTTTTGATCTTTCGGATATATACATAGACATAGGGGTGTGAGCCTGAACAGGATTCAGCTGAATTCCACGGAGTATTCCGAGGGCAGGAAGGGTCCCTGGGTGGCTCTCCAGCGCATCGGCTCCGCAGGCCCACTTCTCAACAGGGGATCAGCTTTGGCAGTGCGGCTCACCTGTGGGGGCATTCTGCCAGGTGACTGCTGCTGCTAGACTGCCACTGTGCCAGCCACCTGTTCAGAAAGCAGCAGGCTGCACCGATTCACACACCCAGATTCGTCACACACGGCCCCTGTGGGTGGTGACTCTGGCACCTGGCCAAAAGAGCGGCAGCAACGCTGGTGAGGGCAGAACCATTTCTGGGCTGTGTTTCAACGTGGACTTAAACGAATACTAGTTACATGCACTCTTTTACTAATGACATCCTAAAAAGGGAAAACGGCACTTGTAAGCAATACTTGGGTTTGGGAAGCTTGTAGGAACAGATTCATTTTTGACCTTTAATTTGCATCAAAGTGGAAATTGTGTCTGCTGCAGGCCCAGCTGCGAATTCTTCTCCTGTCCTTTCCCCCGGCCGTTACAACAAACATCTACTGATCTAGTAGTAAGCGCTGGCCTAGATGCAAGGAAGGCTGCTGCTGCTGCCGCCGCCTGAAATTAACAGTCAAGGGATTTGAATAGGAGGTGCCCTTCCTTTTTAATAAGCTGAGGCAATGAGGTCCAGGAACAGGACTAATGCACAAAGGTTGGGAGTGGCGCTGCAGCTTCTGGGCACCTCGTCTCCCTCCAGGTGTTCTCCTCTGTGGGATCATGGCTGTGGCGGCTCCAAAGGCTGCCAAGTCACACATGGGCCATCCCAGCAGTAAGAAAGATCCTTTAGAGCCGCTTCCACATCAAGGCTGCACAACCTGCCACACACCAAGCCAGAGGAAGTCTATAAGCCAACCAGGGTGGTTACCTGCAGGCTAGCACCTGGCAGCCTTAGTGCAGGGCTGACAGATCATCCCCACAGGACTGGGAATCCCGGGATCCTCCAGATGTACTTGCAATCAACCTTAGCCCTGCTTGGGTATGATGAGCGTTTGGGCACAGTAACATCTCCAAGGTCACAGGTTCCCCAGCCCTGGCTTCAGGAGCTACATGTGGGAAAGCCCTGCCCCATGGAGACGACAGCACTAGCTCCTTAGCACCACTGGTACCCTCCAGAGTCCTCACCCACACCCCATACTGCTGCTTGGATGCTCCCATTGCTAGCTTTCCCTGTGAGTCTATCCATTTCTTCTAATATTCTTGAAAGGGAGAAATACACAGTTTTTGATCTAATGCAAAGAGATCATTCAAAATGAGAGGAGGTTAACTGCCAGCAAGGTATCGACCAAGACAGAGGACAGAAACACCCCTTCAAAAATGCACCTTTTTGAATCATAGGAGAGTTCCAGCTATCCTTCCTACAGAGAACAGCATCTGCTGATTTAAAAAAAAAAATTCAAGGCCTCCACCACATCCAGCTCTTGGCTTGGCTGGGTTTTTCTCCACCTCCAAACAGGCACAGGTATGTTTTAATTGAATAAGCAGGGGAGTCTGGTATAGGAACAAATGTCTAGAAATGCAGATGCCTTCTCAGCATATAGAACATGCACATAAACTGCATTGGTTAAGTAGATTTAACAGAGAAGGATGGCCTTATCTCACACTCCTTGCTTGAAGTAACTTCCTTAGATTCTGAATCATATCATGGCCAACAAGGTTTTGGTCAGCTCTCTCTTATTCTCCTCCAAAGCACCTGTTGCCTCCGTTTCAAGTAACCACCATGTCTTTGCAAATATGTGATAACCAACGGGTGGTAAAATGCATGTTTGAATTTGTCTGTGGAATTTCACTGGGCAGCAGCAATGCCCCAAGGGCAAGCCAGCCAGGGTGTTTGCATGCACCTCTTGCAGTGGCGGGTCTACTCCCTGGGTATGTTGGGCGGAGGGATCTTCACAGGCGAGGGCTCCACTCCCCAGATCTCCCTGGCGTACTCGGTAATTGTCCTGTCACTGGAAAACTTGCCAGAAGCTGCAATATTCTTGATGACCTTTTTAGTCCACTCTCTGGGATTCTGGGAAGAAAAAGTGCAAGGTGTTGGAAGTTTGGCATCCACAGAGTGCAGCTCCAGTTAAGATCACACACGCTGAGAATGGTGTAATTGTGGATTTTGAAGTGCAGGGGCTTTACCCTGTAGCTGCGCCCTCGAGAGAGGCCAGGACATCAGGCAGTGGTGTCCGTACAGAAGCTTCCATTGCTACCAAGAGCCGATCTTTTGGAAAGCTAACAGGGTCCCTTTAATGCCCCATTCAAGGCTGAGTTGCCCCCAGAAGTTTATGTTAGAAGAGGAATAGCTCATATTGCTGCTGGGAAAATATGTGAAACCTCAGTTGTCACAGTAGTGACAACTGCAGCTACACTTAGAAGGAACAGAGAATTCCGAGGAGGCTGGCAAATAGCAAAATGTGGGTGCCACATCCCTGCAAACCCATCTCTGCTACACCTCTGTGCAGCGTCTGAGGGGACAGATCCTAAACGAGCGGTCACATGCCTTTCAGACTCTTGGCGTGGCAAGAAAGAAGGACAGCTGTGGATTCTCCATCCTTCCCTGGTCCACTTCTTGGCCTGAAGTAACTAATCGGGGCCTTCTCTGTGGCAGCACCCAGACTGAGAAAGCTCTTGCCCAAGGGAGCCATCCAGCATCTCCCTTGCTAACTTTCAACCAGCTTTGGAAGCGTGTATGTTCTGGCAGACATGCAGCCACCTATCTATTGTTCTGTTTGCACTGAACTGATTTGTCAATGCAATTTTTATACTGCTTTTCGAAGTGCAGGGATTGGGGCAATTCATACGGTCAGTCACCCTGGGTCTCCTTGTACAGAAAAACAGGATACAAATTGGCTTAAACTGCACAATAAACAACATGTGCCTCTTTTTGAGAAAGGGGATGTGACACTAATGCTCTTTGGGATACATTTTGCCTTTCTGAACCTCTGGCAACTAATGTTCACTCTCCACCTACAAATCCATGGAGCTGGACAAGGCAAGAGTCCTTGGTATATGGCTGCTCAACTCAGTTGACAGAAGTTTGTCAGCAGAGTTGTGTGTTGCCAAACAACTCTAAGGACAACAGCTGTGCAGGGTGTGGATGATGGGAGTTCTGCCCTGACCCAGGTCGGAGAAAGAAGCCCACTTTCTTATCAACCAATGTCAATCGAATGGCAATGAAAGTCAGCCTTACCATGTACAGCTGTTCTACTTGCCCTTGACATTTGATGTAGGCTTCATAATCAGCAAACACTTTAAACCTGAAACAAAGAAAGAGATTGAGAATGCCCCAAGGGGTTCCCCGTCCCTCAACAGAGGGGATTTTTTTGTGAACACGCAGGCAAAGAAATAATGGGTAATGAATAGCATGCTGTTGATGGGCTTTAATAATCAGTGAATACTCTGATATTGCTCACCTGCCCTGTACATCCCTTTGCCTCTCCCTGACTTTATGGACTTTGACTTAGAGGACTTTGGGACTGAGAGGCCCTGTTCTGGATATCAGCTGCTCTCAGGATGATGAAACAGCAGAGCCTTTCCTGCAGAGTTACCCTCTCTGTAGAACTCTCTGCCCAGAGAAGTTCAATATGGCCAGTTCCCTTATGACATGGGCTAAAAAGCTGTTCCTATTTCAAGGAGCAAACGTTTGGCTGACTGATTCAAGCTGCTGCTCTGGTTGCATTTTCTTTATATGTTTTCATCCTATATTTCAAAAATAAAGTTATTCTGAGGTTCATCAATCCTAACCCTTCTAACAAAAGCATTATACATTTTCAGGTTGTTTGCTGGTCATTCTGAAAGCCTTTTGGGATGGTCTATGGATTAAACTGCTTGACTATGCTGGCTGAGGGTTACAGCCCAACCTATATGGAGGGAGCCAGATGGAAGAAGGCAGAACCAGGTGCTTTAGGAGAAGCGTTCATCTACTCTAACCTCCCTAAACCCAGTGTTCTCTGAATATGTCAGAATACAATTCCCATCACCCCCAGATAACAGGTCTGGTTATGGGAATTGTAGTCCCACATATCTGCGAGTTGATTATGGCAACTGCACACTGAAAGATTGGAAGGCCCCCAGGTTGGGGAAGGCTGGCATATAGCCAAGGTACTTCTTCGCTGGCTCTTACCTGTCATGATACAGCAACATGTTCACAACATCTCGGAAGCGCCCTGGATCATCTGGTGAGAAGAAGCCACTGCTAATTTGATCTATAACTTGTCTGAGCTCTGGAATCCTGTCATAGTACTCTTTGGCATTGTACCTGGATGGGAAAATGGCAATAGTTTCAGCATCTCTCACGAGAATACATTTCTTTCTCCTTTCTGCTCAAAGCAACGTGCAACTCTGCCTCAGAAAAACTGGAAATGATTCACAGGGGAACGTCAGCAGTAACACAAATCCTACTGAGGAGCATTGAGCCAAGTCTAATTCTTAGGGAGGGATTTCTTAGTAATCAGTCATAAACAGAATTTAAGAACAGTTGGGAGAAAGCACAAGTGGGGTTTTTTGTACCATTCTGGTATACTTCAGATGTTTTTATAAAGGATGATACTACTTCAAAAACCTCTCATTTGCCAGATCATTTTTCCTTTGATGGGGTGTGAACTCGTCCGGGCCTCTTCAGATTCTTGTTCCAGATGTGCAGGGCACCAGCTGAAAATTCCAAAGCAACCTGGGGACGGATGTTCCCGCAGGCCTGCAAACATCTGCACCCAGCCTCTTTGTCCCGAAAGAGTCGGATACTGAAGTTCATACGAACCCTTTCTTATCCATCGCCTCGACATCCTCCACCCGCATGCCAAAAATGAACAGATTCTCCTCTCCGGCCTCCTCGGCCATTTCCACGTTGGCGCCATCCATGGTCCCAATGGTGAGGGCTCCGTTCAGCATGAATTTCATGTTTCCTGTTCCTGAGGCCTCCGTCCCAGCTGTGGAGATCTGTTCAGATAGATCTGCCGCGGGAATCACTGGGGACGTGTCAAAGAGAAACCAACAAAACAGAAAACCATTTCTTTTATGAACAGATCTTTCGTACTGAAGTCCAAAGACTGCAGGGCTTGCCCAGGGTGCTTTCCTTGTTCTGAGTGGCTCCACTGGAACAGCATCCTTGCTTCACTGCCCAGGTGCAAAGCTGTGCCAGACAATGTCACCCCCCTCCATCAGCAGCGGCCACAGGAGCCCATGAGGCGATTTAATGCATGCGCAACTGGGTGCTGGCCAGATGTTCTAGACTGCAACTAGTTTTCTAGCAGTTACCTTGTTTTGAGATTTTACCAGTTGGGAAAAATTATCATGCTTTTGTTGTATTTGAGGTTTGTGTTTTATGTAAAATGCCCGGAGGGCTTTGAATATTGAGCAGTATAATAATGAAGACTGAGAATAATGATAATGATTATGTGCACTGTTTTGATTCACTGTTTTTGTATATGGTATTTTTAGTCACTGCTTTTATTGTTATTATATGCTTAATGGATTGTAATCCAGTTGGAGGACCTTTGGGCTGATTCAGCAGATAACCAATCAGTCAGTCAATAAAAATACAGTCTCATGATCCCTGATCAGTTGCCCAAAGTTCCAGCCCAAAGCATCTGGAGGATGCCAAGTTGCCCTAAATGGAGGCCAGCAATGTCATTCCCGAGTCATCTCACCTTTCTCAGCAAAAGACACTCTGTAGTTCTCCAAAAAGAGGACTTTTAGCCTGTCTCCTATGTAAGGGTCATTGTTGATGACATCTCCAATGGAAGTGATGAGCTTGATAATCATTTTGGCCATGTGATAGCCTGGAGCAGCCTGGAAGTAGACAGGGAAGGAAGGGGCCAGTGGATTAAAAAGTACTGGCAGAAAGCTGCTTGTTCATATTAAGGCAAATGGCTCCACCAAGGGTATTGTCCAGATTCCTTAATAAACAAGCCTCTGATCTTGCAGAAAAGAAGCACTCCACAAAAATGACTTTGTGATAACCTCTACCTTGCTACAAGGAATAAACAAACCAAATAATCACACCTTCTTGGGCTGGTCATGGCCTGTGACTCTTCTACAGAGCTGATCGGAACCAATTTCCATCCAGGGCCTCTCCTTACCCCTCGCTCAGACAAGGATGCAGTGCACAGGACCTGGCTGGAAGCCTTTTCAGACCTCACCTCCACTTCCCTTCAGCTTTCCCAATCAATCTTCTAAGCAAGAGGCATGCCCAGATCAGTAATTTATGCAGAAGCGTGCCAAAGTGGGTAGACTCTCCTGTGGATGGGTCATTTTCACTTTTACACATTCCAAGAGTCACATTTGCAGGTGCAAGAGAAAAGCAGGTCGCCAGTGTTAATTTGGAGTTGGGGGGGGGGGAAGAGAAAGGAGGCTTCGGCGAATGGGGCGGCATAGAAGTTTCCTAAATGAAGGAAGGTAGGTAGGTAGGAAGGAAGGAAGGAAGGAAGGAAGGAAGGAAGGAAGGAAGGAAGGAAGGGAGACAGGAACAACCAGACGCTTAGAGATTGTGGTCCTAGCTACCGGGCAGCAATCTCAGCTTAGCTTTAAATAACTTACCTTGCCTCCAATCATAACTGTTCTTGGCACATAAGATCTTTTGGGGTCTTTCCTGATGCCTGAAAAGAACAGTAGAAGATGGAAAAGAGACAGGAATGTGAACAGACAAATCTTTAAAAAGGGATGTAGAGCCCAAGGCCTAGTTGCCAAATTTAGCCCACCTGAGGTCTCAATCCAGCCTTCTCAGGTTCTCAGAATTGCCCTAGCCCTTTCCTAGCTCCTCCCGTTTCCCCCAACCACCAACGGTCTGATGGTTTCCTGGCTTGTGTACATTTTCCTGCATTCTAAAAGGCTGAAGTTCCTCTCCCAATGGCTTAGTTTCCGGCAGCGAGAGCTTCAAGCCGAAACAGGCAATTTGGCTCTGCTGGCCCTGTGCCTCTGGCCTCGCTCGCCAGTGGAAGGCAGCTCCCAACAGCTTCTCTGCGAAGGAATCTGGCCCTCCTGCTTTGTTGGTTAAGGTACTCACGGTTATACAGAGTGATGGCATGCAAGCAGTTGAGGAGCTGCCTCTTGTATTCATGGATTCTCTTGACATGCACATCGAACATCGAGGAAGGGTTGATTTTCACCTTGTACTGCTCTTCCAGGAGAGCTGAGAACTTCAACTTGTTCTCCTGGCAAAAGGAATTGGGGACTCAAGTTATGGGCTGGGGCATTTAGGTAGCAACCTGGCTTCAGAGTCTGGTTTAAGCTGGGATGTGTAAAGATGAGTCTAGCTCACAGGTTGCAGCCACATCCTGAATCCGTAATGGAGTAGGGGCTGGACTAGATGATCTTCAAGGTACCTTTCCCAAGTATTACCTGTTTAACTTTGGCTACGTCCCTGATAAAGGCCTCATCATCGACAAACTCCATCAACTTCTTTAGCTGACTGAGATCGGTAAGAAAATCTTCCCCGATCCTCTGTAATACAAAAAGTACAACTGACAGTCAGATTTATATGAAGTTTCATACAGAGTATGTGGGGAAAGGTGATGTGGTTATAATGGCTGGAGAAAAGGACTGTGACCGGAGGGAGCCAGGTTCAAGTCTCCACTCAACCTTAGAGCAAAAAGGCTGACTTTGGGCCAGATCCTGACTTTCAGCCTAACCTCCTTCACAGGGTTGTTGTGAGAATAAATGGAGAGCAAAAGGACCCTGTGAGCCACCTTGGAGGAAAAGGCAGAATATAAATGTAATAAACAAATACATAAGAAAATAAATATTCCCACTGCAGTTGTTCTCAGATCTTGCCCTTTAAATGCATTTTAAAAATTCCCCTCATCAAAAAGGAAGAAACTACCAGGGGCAAAATATTGTGCACTTAAGGGATGCAATCACAGAATTGTGGGACTGAGAGAAAAGCTGGCTAATTGCTCCATAAACAAGGTTGAAGTGAAGCAATGGCTGGCGACTACCATGGCCAGCAGGCTGATCCACTCAGGCCGGACAAGATCAGTCATTTTGTTCTCTTCCAATGTCTTGCTTTCACATCTTATATTCGATTTGCCTTCTTTCCACATCTGTTTCAATTTTATTTTATTTGTTAATGTGTATGAAATGCCATACCCATTTTTGCATGCAATTTGGTTACATGTTCTTACAGGCATTTCTTCCTAATATAAATTTTTAGCGTGGATTTCACTAACAGACAATTTCACAAATGTTCCTATGCGCAGTTTCCCCTAATGTGTGTGCATTTTTGTACACATAATTTTGATTGAAGAACCTCCTTTGCAATGTTTGGTGAAGTGCATATTTCGCAGAATTATTTCAATTTGCAAATGGATTTGAAGATGTGAAATTATGCAAGTTCACATAAGACAGCAAACTGAATTAACTTCTCTTCCGTCTCGATCCAGGATTAAATTCAGGCAGCATTACCACCGGGGCAAAACAGCCGCTGCAGTTTCACTTAAACCCACGGATTGTGCTGGGAAGGCTGCTGGTGACTTTTCCGTCAAGATAATATGAATTAAGGCACAATCTAATATAGGTTTAAATAGAAAGAGTCCTTCGATTCCCAGCATGCCCCAGTCAGCATACCTACACTGATATCCTGCCTTTCCTCCAAGGACTCAAAACTGTATATAATTCTTCCCAATCCCTTTGTCTCCACAACAACCTTGAGAGGTAGGTCAGGCTGGAAGAATAGGACTCTTCCCAGGTCACCCAATGAGCCTCATGGCTGAGCTGGGATTTGAACCCAACTCTTGCTGGACTTCCCTGGGACCAGCAGGCAGGACTGTGCAGGCCGGCTTTGACCGGTGGGTTAGCAGCTGCCTGCCTAATGTACTGGCCATGCTAGGTAAGAAAAACCCTGCCCATGTCTTGTGTTCTGTGCCTAAGGCCAGATCCAGGGGCTGCTTTGCACAAGATCCGTTTGTGGGAAAGCCTCTGCAGGAGGGGTGGTGTTTGGAGGCGCCCCGTCCCTGTCCCCCTTCAGCTCCCAGGGCTGAAGGAATTATGCACCTGGCTCTGTACCGCCTTGAAGGAGCTCTGCCCCCGGTGCAATCTCACCCATCATTCTTTCTGATGCGCTGTCATTTAAACCACCTGGTCTTCTAACAAACAGAAGGCGCAGCTGCCTCTGGCCACAGCGCTGGGGACTCATTCGACTTGCTCCCAAGTCCGACTTGAATTGCATCGGTGACTCGACTCGGACTTGACTTGGCAGCAACGAGTGAGCCGCTCGGCTTGATTCTTCTACATTTTTTACCAACAAGTCGCAGTCTGCATTTTTTACAACCGGGGGGGGGTGAGGGGGGGAGCTTACCAGGCAGGCTTGCCAGACAGGCACAGGCTGGCATGAAAACAGCAGTGGCTGCGGGATGGGGGGAAGCTTCAAGGGGAAGGAGGCAGGATAGGGAGGAGGGGGGTGTGATGGGGGAAGGCAAGGCGTAAGCTCTTCTTTTTTGGCATGAGGAGGTGGTGGGAAGGATTTATTATTGTTTAAATAAATTGTGGCTGGAGGAAAGGACTTCAAGGCATTACTGGGAGAAGTGCAGATGGGAACACTGGGGGGGTTACAACTCTCCCCCCCCCCAGCCACCCCCCACTTCCCTTTTTCCTGTTAAAGTTGGCTCTTGGGACTTGAGACTCAACTCAAGAATTTCTTGCAATGACTTTAGACTTGACTCAAGACTTGGAGTAAAGGACTTAAACCCATCACTGTTTAGCTGTGCCCATCAGCAGATGCTCCCCACAATTCACCTCCACGATGATGTCGGAGAGTCCTGGGTTGCAGAGCAGCAGCCATCGCCTGGGCGTGATGCCGTTGGTCTTGTTCTGAAACTTCTCTGGTTCTATCTCATAGAAATCTTTGAATCTGAAACACACGGATCACGAGACATTTAAAAAACACATGGGGCAAGTCCTGCGCTATTTGGGGTCCGTGTGCCAAATTGATGAGCAGTGTGATGAGCCTGAGAAAGAAGTGGATGCCATTTGGTGGTAGGTTAGCAGAAGCGTAATGTCCGGATCTCAAGAATGAATGGTCATTATTTCTTTAGCATGAATAGGAATATACTTCCTTCTTTGCTAAAAAGCCACCAAGGCAACAGTTTAAAACAATAAAACTTAAAGCCACAATCCTGTGCAAATGTAGACAAAAAAGGCTCATAATTCCCAGCTGGGAGCTGTGGGTGTTTTTTCTGTTCAAATTTAGACACATAGAAACAAAGCAAGTCAGAAGGGGTCTCCCAGGCCATCTAGTCTGACCTCCTAGTCTTGCAAAACCAATAAAAACAAGACCATTAAAAACAGTAAAAATCTCCAAATGTCACATTTTGATACTGAAGGATGTGTATTTATCCCCTGAGTAAAGGCCAAGAAGGGGGTGATTACAGTTCTGGATGAGTGCATTTCATAATTTAAGGGTAGAACAGGAAACTTCCACAATTTAGATCTCTGGTAATCTGCCCTGTTTTCTCCTTGTACCGCTTAAGGCTTGCTGGCTTCTTGACAGAAACTCAAAGAAGAAACAAGCAAGACTCACACAGAATTCTTCACAATCTCGGAGTGAATCCTGGCCACTCCGTTGACCGCGTGGGAGCCAATGACGCACAGATGGGCCATATTGATCCTTTTGCAATCCCCCTCCTCGATCACGGACATCCTTCGAAGGCGGTCAACGTCTCCAGGGAAAAGGGCAGCCACATGCTTGCAGGACACACAAAGGCAGGGCGGACGTTAATAACGAGAGCGACACCCTGGCCCGCGCAGGACCATTTTACACCAAAGGATGTGAATAAATCCCCCAAACCCTTGAAAAACTGGAGCCATTTTACTCTTCTTTTCACTCCTATTCTTAAAAAATTAGTTGGGAATACCATCAAAAACAGACATAGTCGGTTCAGTGGATATAACTGGACTATGAACTTTAATAAACGTTTGGACAATCATGGCTCCCCCCAGAGAAGCCGGGCTATTCTAGTTTGAGGGGAAGGTTGAGACTACGATAGTGGAAGGCGGGCTTTACACGTACAATGTCGGTCCCAGGGTGGTACCCCAGGACCCCGCATAGAAGCAGGAGTGCTGGAAAGAGGCAGGCCCAATGCAGGCCACCAAGAGGCAGGCCCTGCAGCTGACCACACTGCCTTGCCCTAGTCATGTCTGCCCCCAGTCAGCAGTAATTTGATGGTTTCCCTGCTTCTGGATGACTTTAAAGCTTAAATGGCACCACCACGTAAATGGCCAGAGGCTAGCATTGCAGCTATCCACTCAGCATGATCACGTGACAGAAAGGGCCAATCAAATTCCTCCACAGTCTATAAAGCTGCTGCCTCTGGCACTCAGGGGCAGAGGGAGTCTGTTCTTGCTTGCCTGCAGGCCTCTCAATCCACTCTATTTGATCCCCCACTTCCCAACCAATGCAGGCTCCTTACATCCAGATGCTTTTGGTTGATAGCATAAATAATCTCCAGGTGTCTTGGCAAGAGTTTTTCGAACATAGAGATGGGCCAGCGCTCCAGAGCTTCAGGTAGCACCGTGTGGTTAGTATAAGCACATGTGCGTTTTGTGATATCCCAGGCCTGGGGGAAAAAGATTTTACATGAATGAGTGAGTGTGACTGAAGGCCCCACATGCCGAGCCTGATGCTTGCAGCAATCAAGTCAGAGCAGCATCTTATGCGTGCTGAGGAGGTTGCAACCACATTACTAAAGGAAATAGAAGATGCTAATGTAACAGCCCATTCTAGGCCCATATTTAGGGTCCGTTTTGTGTTGGATTTTTAAATGCTGCCTGCCAAATCGATCTTTGTCAGAGTTCCATTTGCTGTCCGCCTTGAGAGGCTGTTACCCTTAAAAGGGAGGTGAGAATAATTTAATATTAAAATACAATAACATGATTGTACTTTCTATTCTTTATTTTGCAAGCCACTCTGGGAATTATGGCCAAATGGTAGCTAATCAATACATAAGCACATACGTGCATTTTCCAGGGGGGAAACTGGGTTACCCTCTTGCAGCAAGCTTTTATGGGTGACAGTCTGCTTCAACGGGTGCATTTGATGAATTGGACTGTAGTACATAAAAGGTGATAACACAATAAATCAGTTCACCTTTTAAGGTGTCGCAAGACCCTTTGTTGTTGTTACATAAATGCATAGCTATGCATATTTTGCCCTTACAGAGGGGTTATGGTGGTCTGCATCTAGAACATGGATCAAGTCCTTACTTGCTTTGGTTCAGCACTTCAGCAATCTTTCCCCCAGCTTTAATTCCCTCACCCTAATCAGGTTTACCTTCTATCTAAAGGGAACCCAGCTGGAAAAAGGTTGGCAACTTCCTCCGTCCCACCACTTCTCTCCACCCGAAATCACCTCATTCCACCCTTTCACGGCTGCTCCAGAATGAGTTGTGCTGTTAGAGGAGGTTTTTTCCTCAAATGCCAAATTCTGTCCTTCAGAAGCCTGCCTTTCTCTCTCAGGACTGACTGATCGTAGACAGGCTGGCAAGAAGCATCCATTTTGCAATCACAGGCAGCACAGCAGGGGCTCCATACCTTTTCCCATTCCATTTTTTCAACATCAACCAAGATCCGCATGAGCTCAGGAATGGAGAGGGCTGGGTGGGTGTCATTGAGTTGGATGGCAACCTGCAAAATGGGCACAGTTGTAGCCGATTTATCTTTATACTGTTTCTTCCACAACACATTTTGCTCCATGTGGCAAACCAATATCCATCATTATAATACAAGGCAATATCATCTCAGTTGCACTTCCTTTAAAACTTACTAAAAATTGAAACAAGCACAGTGACCGGTCAGCTAACAAAGTCCAGAACCAATAATGTCAGCACAACACTCACATTAAACCACATGCTAAACAGTTCATGGTGAAGACATAATATGCAGATAACTCACCCGCATCAAGCTCCCAGCAAAAGAGGGTTGGGGGAACCCACGAGGCACTCAAACCTCTCAGCAGACACTCCTCCTCCTCTCACTTGGGTCTCATGCCCTGAGCCATAAAAGGGCTTCCTCATCCCCCAAGCAAACCCCTACCTGACTCTTTGCACTGGGAGAGGCAAGATGGAAGAAGCATCTCTCTGAGCAGAGGCTCTGGACAATGTCAAACTCTTCATATGCCACTCTCCCTCCCTCCCTCCTTCCTTCTGTCCTTCCTTCCTTCCAGGAAAGGAAGGCAGCTGGTCTGTGGGAGTTTGGGATCTGAGACAGTCGGCCTTCCAATCTGTTCTCAGGTGCAGCGGGTGCTTACATGGTAACCCTTGGCAAGCCACTATTTTCAAAATTCACTTCCCAGGCTGCAAGCCGGCACAGTGGGTGGCAATCAAAAGTTCTAGAAAACTATGTGGGGGCTACAGTCACATGTGATCTGCCCCTTTTTTGCTTGTCCAGAATCTTTGGGGTACTTTCAGAAAACCTTTTTAGTGTGAAATCACTCCACCCCACACACAGAATTTCATGTGGGATCCGGATCTCTGCTTCCATTGTAACCCTCTTGTGTTTATTCCACTGCTTCCGGATTTCTTCCTTAGCAGTAAAAAATCCATTAAGGTGGGAAGATGAACTAGTTAGACTGGTTGTGTGCTAAAAGCCCTCTTACCTGGAAACATTTAGACTGCCAGTTTTCATGTGAAAAAAAGAAACTAAACTAAACAGGAAACGTGCTGGCAGATTGTGTTAAGAAACAAACCCTGGAGAGGTTCCTGAGTTTGTTGGGGGGACCCCATGGCTACTCAGCCTTGGTCATTGAATGTTCAAGGCTGCAAAAAAATGATAAAATCACAACTTTGCCTTTTGTTATTTTGGCTCAGCCCTCATTCTAAGAATTCACCTTATCAGGGAACGTCTCAAAGCAGGTTCTGACGGGGTCGCGACATCCAAATTTGGAAGACTTGAATCGTCGTATAATATCCTGGAGAGTAGCAGCTACCACAAAGTACTCCTGCTTCAGACGCAGCTCTTTCCCTTCAAAGAACTTAAAAGGACAGAGAACATCAGCAGCAGCATCTTATTCATCAGCACCGCAATCATAAAGGCCAAGGATGGGGAACCTTTGTTGAATTACAGTTCCCAGTATCACTTTCCATTGGCTGTGCTGGTGAGGGCTGATGGGAGTTGCAATCCATCAGTATGGGAGGACTACACCCTCCCTACCCTTGCCCTTGTTTTCAAGCCAAAATTGGCCCTTTTCAGTTTCCATAGTGCTTTGCAGGTGAAATTTGTTAGCAAATCAGGAGTGCAACATACATGTTGTTCCAAGAGTTAGAAGCTCATGCCGGAACACCCAAAGCTCCTCTCCCCTTACCTAGGCACTCTGGTGTTCTCCACCTGTTTTGGGCCTCAACTCCTGCCATCCCTGACTTTTGACCATGCTGGCTGAGACCCTCAACTTTGCAAAATATAAAAAAGGAGGTGTATTCTATGCAGCAAGGAAGAGTCACTTACATTATCATTTGGATACAGCACTCTGGAGATGTTTTCTGCCAAGTTTCTATCCAACACAGCCTCGATATAATCTCCTACATTAACTAGAGGAAGAGAATGAACATGGCATCAAGAGCAGTCTATCCTATCAAATGTAAAACTCCAGTTCCCACCTCTTCCAAAGAGAAAAGGAAACTCTAAGGAATAGCACTTAAAAACTGTTAATTAGAAACCCAGATTTGTCACACAGGCAAGAGGAAAAGCTCATACTTGGTTTCTACAATATGAAAGGGACCCTCACCATAGAAATGGTGAATGGGGGTGATCCATCAATTCCTGCTTCTGTGCCTCAGATGATGATCAGGGCTATGGCTCATGGGGGCTGAATTATACCCCCCCAAGCTATGCCCTTTGTTTGCACCTACAGCAGCTCAACTTGAGCTCACTAAATTAAGACTGGCTTGAACAGGGTGGGCTTTCGTTCCTTATCCTCCGAAAGATGCAGAGCAATGGTGAGCACAAAGAATTTTCTTCACACAGCCTCTGAAATCAAACCTGCACCCAACTCCCAATGTGCTGAAAATGGAGGAGTAGCCTGTGCTTTTTCCAAAAAGAAAGTTAAAGAGCAAGAGCATTAAGGACAGTACTTACACTCTTCAAGGTTGAAATCATTGGGTGCTTTGGCTGACCACAGCCTCATGGTATTGACTGTATTGTTCTTGTAGCCTGGGACAGGCGTGTCATAAGGCATGGCAAGGACGACCTAGCATTGGAGGAACAGGTGAGATTCAGAGCAGCTCAAGCAGCGGTTGTCAAGCCTTTTGCTAAAACCAAAGTTAAAGCTGATTTCAAACTATAAACCTGCACCATGGCTTAGGAATGCAAAACCGTCAGAATGCCTCTCCTGGTCAGGATCTACTCAACCTCTGAGGCCTTCCTCTGAGTTCTCATTGCAAGGGAAATTTGGAGCATGGCAACAAGGGGAGGGCTTTCTTGGTGGTGGACCCGTTTATGGAACCGCCTCCTCCTGCTGCTCAGCTGGTGCCAAATTTGTCATTTTTCTGGCTCCAGGATAAGATGGCCTTCTATGACAAGGCTTTTAAAGCAATATGCAGGGGCTTGAGGGGCTTGTCCATCCCAGGTGTTTTACAGAGTCTTTCTTTGTTAGGGGAATCATTCTGATGTGCTCGTATGAGGTCTCACCACTTCTCACATGACCTGTTCTTTCAACGCACCCACAATCTTGGTGCGGGGAGAGTTCCTTTCTGTGCGAGTGTTGCAGGTATAAGTGGAGCAGAGATAGAAAGGTGTGGCTTCTCTGCACGAGGCATTTCTTGTGTGCTGATGATCATCGATTCACAGGAGCTTGTTGGTTCTTTTTCCTCCAGGGCCTCTCCTGTGTTTTTAGTCATTTTTGTGGCTTTTCTTAGAGTAGGGAAAGTGTGACGAGTTTAATGCTTAATGCTTCAAACTGGCTTTATGCCGTTCACAAATGCGCCATTCCAGAGCACCACCTTGTGGGCAGAGAAATGAAATCCCCAGAAAAGAAATAAATGCTGACTTGCTTCTTCAAGGAAAATGGAAGAAGCGTCAGTAAACCTGTGGGATAAATTTTCGGCCATGCTGGGTGTCTGGAGCAAGGGGGGACACATACCTGCAAGCATATACACAAACATATGTGTATTCCAGCCACCCTTCTAAATATGGTGCATGAACAGGGACACATGCACATGCAATGCTCGCCTGCTGTGCTGTTCTTGCATACGTTCTAAAATGTAAAAACCTTCCGTTTAAGACAGAGTGGACAACTTGCACCGCTTTCCCTTGGTGGCACCTTGCCAGGATTCCCCTAGGCCCCAATTCGCATCCATATCCTCTCACTTCTTGCCTCACTCACCCACAAATTCACACATGCCTACTACTGACTCGGTCGAATCTTTCCCTTCCCTCAGTCCCTGTCCAAAAGGGGGAAAAATGCTCCAGGAACAGAAGTTCTGTTGCTGGAATGCCCCTGCAGCATCCTGGGAAACAAGCAGGCCCTTTTGAGCAATGTGTCCCAGAATGCTTTGGCATGAAGCTTCTAAGCGAAGAGCAACAGAGTCCATTCCTAGAGTGTTATTCCTCCCTTCCCCATGTATTTCTTCTTCTGGTGGCAGCTAATGCTAGGAGTTTTGGGGCCATCAGACAGTTGCTTGGGGGGCTGCCTGGAACCTGCAGGCCACCCTTTTGGCACCCCTGCTCCAGAGTGTTGCATTTCAATGTGGGACACCAGAGATCAAATCATTGTTTAGCTATAAAGAGATGGGATAGGCTTGGCAAAGTCACAAGGTCTGAATCTTGATGTACCAGACAGTGCTGCTTTGGGCAACTCGGCACCACAGACAGCAGGCCATTACAATAAACTCTGGAAAGCCCGAAGCCAAGTCACATGCCTCCTCAAAAGCTGAAGAGTGGAATCAGTTCTGAATGTTTCCCTAGCAAAGAACAGATTGCTTGTTTAGTCAGCCTCTGAGAAGAATGTTGCTGTTGAACCCAGTTAAATGCTGCCAAGCAACAAGCGTGGAGCTCTGCAATCGCTGAGAATGTGGAAAAGGTTAAAATATGGACAGGACGGCACTCGGAACAGGCCCAAATATGGCCTGGAAAGCCAAGAAGAGAAGCTCGTGCTTTGTATTAAAACATCTCCAGCCTGCCAAAGCTCATGAGAACTGGTGTGATGTGGTGATCAGAGAGCTGGAATGAGACCTGGGGCCTCCTACTCACTCACTGCATGTCCCTGGACTAGTCACTGACTCAGTCTAACCTACTTCACAGGGTTGCTCTGAGGATCAAAAGGCGAGTAGGAGGACTCTATAACCTACCTTGGGTTCTTCACAAGAGGAAAAAAGCAAGATATAAATGCAATAGCAATCCTGAAATAAATTTATGTTTAAGGTGTCACGGGATACTTTGCCTTCAGTACTGAGATGGGGATCATGAAAAATATGCAAAATTATTCCAAGGACAAGAGTCAGCCAAGTTTTGAGTATCTTGTTCTGTTCTTGAACCAGAAATTGGTTGCTAATGGTGCTAAAGCAGAAAAGGGTTTTGGTGGAGTTTATTTCTGAAAGCACAGTACATTTTTCTTCGCCATATGTTGGTGTTTGATGACTCAGACACCAGGAATAATTATATTTCTTTAAAAAGGGGACGGTTTAATTGCAATGAAAAGCAAATGGTTTCTGGAGACACACTGTTAGGAAGAAGCTGTGTGTCCCACTGGTGACAATGGGGAACCTCTTCAAGCCCTGCACTTTGAGCCTTGTTAAGATTCTATTCTTATTACATATAGAACAGTATTTCCCAACCTGATGCCTTCTATATATACTGGACTACAACTCCCACAATTCCTAGCCAGCACCCATTTGGGGATGGCTGCACTAGATGATGGTTATTCCTGTAGCATATTTTGCTCTCTTCTGCTATCCTAACTTGTGGTTTCTTGGAGGCAGTCTTAGATTTCTGTACCTGAGTATCAACCCACTTAACACCTTCTGGAGTGTGCTCCACCCGACCATAAAAGTGCACAGGAAGCATGTACTCTGGGCGGGCTTTTTCCCACGGGTTGCCATAACGCAGCCAATCATCGGCTTCCTCCACCTGAAAATTAAAAAGGGAGAAACGGATTACAGGAAGATCATCCCCGGCAGCCAGTTGCCCCAACCACATGGAGAGAGGCTATAATGTGGAGGGGAGCACCCCAGCTGTGGAATGCCCTCTCCAGAGAGACTCACCTGGCACCCACATTGCATTCTTTTCGGACTGGGGTGAAAACCTTATTTCCCCAAGCTTTAAAAAATATATTTGAGTGTTTTTTTAGACTTCAGCCGTTGCTGTTGCTGCTTTCATGACAATGCTACTTTATTTTGATTCTGTTTTAAGCTGGTTTAATTTTGTGCTTGCTTTTTAGTTTGTATGACTGATGGTCTTAAGCATTCCTATTTGCTGGCTAGAAGGCCTATTGTTAATGGACAGTAAAAACACAAACTGCTGTTGAATTCATTTATTCATCAACAGGTTAACTCCACATCTGTAGTTTCCACACCTGAAAAAGTCAGCGGGAGATCATTTGTATTCTGTTTGCCATCCATGATAGCTTAAAATCTTAGGCATTACACAGCTACAAATGCTGATTTCTGCTTGGACAGGTATCTGTCCTTCCTAATTCACTGCATGCAAAGTTGCCATGTCCTTGAAGAAAGTATTGGGACTTTTCTCATGATGCCAGGCACGGGGTAAATGTCTTAAGATGTGGAACACTCCTTATATTGGTGTCATCTTTCACGAGAACGCAATCCAGCTGTGGGGCAGGCAGGCCTTCTCCACAGCGCGCAGCCTCTTGCCCTTGTGTGCTACGACCTGTCCTGTGTTGACAGAAGCTGCTGCCGCCCATCCCCACCTCCATCCTGTGCAGTATCAGGGCCAGTCCTACCGTGAGAGAGAGTGAAGAAGCTGCCTCAGGCGGCAGAGGCAAGTGACGAGAGCGAGCAGTGCTGGAGGGCAGAGCCGTGGCGACTACCCTTCATCCCCAGTCTAGCTTTCTGTCCTTAGTTCTGGTGGAAGGCAGTCCTATCGGCACTGCTCAAGCAAAATTCAGCTAGTATTTGGCTGGCCTTTGCATGTGCGGGTGCCATTTTACCTTTTGCCTTGGGGAGCAAACGTCTTAGGCCAGCCCCGTATAGTACTGAACGCACACTTTGTTGCAGGATACTTCATCTTGGGTACCGAGACAAGTTTGTGAAGGAATATAAGCAGCCATCACAAGCTACGATGAGAGGACCAGGGGCAGCGGAAATGGTGAAAAGCAGCCAGGGGGGCAGCAGGCCACCCCTGGGATTGCTATCCTCAGGGGGACACTGGGGACGGCCCTTAAATATACCCCGCTGAAGGAAGAGACCAACTGCTCCTGGCTTTGGTCCCTCTCCTAGTTATCAGCCATCCAGGACATCAGCTTATTTGACCCATCAACACATTACCATGGGAAGAAGTGCAACTCAACAGATGAGCCCAGCATTATTTCTTTTATCTGCTGCCCTGAGGCAGACCCAGGTTCAATGCCTGGCATCCTCAGTTGGGAAGGATCCCAGACGGGAGGGCTGGGGAGGACTTCTGTCTGAGAGCTACTCGCAGCAGTAGTCAACAGCCTAAGGACAGGCGAACAAGAGGCTTGGCACAGTACGAAACAGATGCATGTTCATCTGTGATCCACGCAGGCCAACTGCCTTTGTACGGGCACTGCGGGTCCCTCCCTTTTCATTTGCAGTCCTTTTTTTGAGCATGCTTACACCCAGTGCCCAACCTCTGGCGTGCTTATCACCCCCATAACTCCACACCCAAGGATCGAGTGCTGGAGAAACTTGAACAGAGCTCCCCGCTGTCCCTGAGGCCTGGACAGCAGTTCTACTGCGATCACAGCCTAGTTGCAAGCTAGGAGCAGCTGCAGGGAAAGAGGAGGAAAGAATGCCAGAGTGCCAAAAGCAGCGATCCTTCTCTCATGGACGCACCTGCCAGCCATCAACAATCTTCTGGTTAAAGATGCCAAATTCGTAGCGGATTCCATAACCGTAGGCTGCGAGTCCAAGCGTTGCCATGGAGTCTAGGAAGCAAGCTAGAATGGCAAGGAACCAACATTTTTATTAGCAGAGAGAAAATATAACCCTGCAAAAAGCAGTTACTACTGGTGCTCTCTTTGTGCTTGTCCTTGAAAGACAGTACCGGGCCGAAGGAGTGAACAGAGCTGCTGTGATGTCCCGTGTGGCCTAAGAGCATCCAGGGGCCTGTGGTCTCAACCTCGCTCCTTCTGTGGGCTTGCATGGGGGCCTCAGACAAGCCACTCCCAAGCTCAGGCCCCATCTGCAACGTGGGGGCAGCATTCTGACTTACCTCGCAGAGTCGTTATACAGAATACAATGCAACACCACACACATTGTGTTAACGAATCTCATCATTTTCTTGACCACTCATAATTTTGTACCGCTATCGTATCTCCCCTTATTTGCTTTTTTCCTAAGCAAAACAGTCCCAGTTGTTGAAACTTTTCCTTACAGGGAAGTTCTTCTGGCTCCTGATCATTTGAACTGCCCTTTTTCTAACCCTACAAAATCCCTTTTTAGGTGCAGTGACCAGATTTGTACACAGTATTGTAAGTGTGGTCACACTATAGTTTTGTATACAGGCAGCACGTCTTTTTTCCAGATCCTTGCCTGATTATGCCTAACATGGAGTTTGCCCTTTCCACAGCAGCTGCAAGTCGGGCCAACGCTTTCCTCAAGCCGTCCACCACAGCCCCAAGATCTCCTTCTCAGTTAGCCACCACTAGCTCAATACCTGAAGCTGGGATTCCCCTCAACTCGCGTCACTTTACACTTGCTGATGCTGAAATAAATATCGGATTCATAGAAAAATCCCAGTTCACCTGCCAGACGTCCCAGCCCGCCGTTGCCTAGGCCAGCGTCTTCCTCAATCTCCTCCAGCTCTTCGAGGTCCAGGCCAAGCTATTGAGAAAAGCAAGCGAAGCAAGAGAAAGCTGCATTACTGTCAGGGTGTGTTGAGATGGATGGATCCTACTACTCCCAACCAAAAGGCATGGTGGTGCTATTCTCTCTTTTCCTCCTTAACAGGCATTTTTCTGGTTAAAAGAGGAGGAGGAGGAGGAAGCAGTGGAGGATTACAACATAACAACATGAAGAAGACAACATCTGCACTCTTGCAAAATTTCATGAATGAAGCTGTTTGATTGCAACATAAAGCCTCATCTGGAAAACGCCCTAAGTCTCTCCACCTGGAATGCTTTAAGTGCTTCATTCTTGTCTTTGAAAAGAGGAAAATTCGCCTATTCATGCTTCTCCTTGATGCTGGAGAAAGGTTATAACAGTCTAATGAGAACCATACATCACAAGAGAGAACATTCCTTTTCTAAAATTAGTGCTGTAAGTTGAAAGGTCTGAAAGACCTTCATCGGAGAGGAGAGAAAGGAAAAGCACAGGTTAATCATGGTGGTAAGATCACCACCGTCCCACCCCATTTCTCTCCCGAGATCATCAACCAACTACTCTCTTTCAGGATCTGCAGCATCTTGTGCTCTCTCTCTCCACCATATTGGGTGGAACTGCAATGAATGAGGAGACACATCTTAGACTACATGTCCTGCTGGGAGAATCATGCTTCCCCACACGAGTGCCATCCCAGATGCGCTGGATTACACCTCCCATCATTCACATCCAGCATGGCTCTGGGTGATGGGAACTGTAGTCTGACCCTCCTGGGAGGCACTTGTTGGCTGAAGAAGGTTGCTTTATGGGTTTGCACAACTGGGTGGGATGGGGGACAGGACCAACAGTGTCTCCAAAGGACGTTCCAGTTGAGTTCAATGTGCAATGAATGCTTCTGCTCATGCAGCCCAAACTGGCATCTGCCCTTGTTCCCAAGGGGGTTGTACTGCACAGGCTCTGCTGGAAGAACGGTGAAGAGGTTATTTGGGTTCAGCAGGTAGTGTAGTGAATTTTTCCAGTGTCCAGTTTTCCAGTCTTTTCCAAAAGACAAGCCTTCTTTTGCTTGTCTATATCCTTGTTGGGGAAATTCAGATAAATCCTGGTAGAAAAAGTTTGCTTACATGTGTCTTTGTGTTAGAAAATAAAACCTGCAACATCTCTGTGCCTCTTTCTCAGAAAGTACCAGAATTCCAAGGGAGGCTTCTGTTTAGTGTTATTTTCAAGCTGTTCCTTTAAGAGAGGGCTACTACCTTTGGTTGGAAAAGCCTTTGAAGAACGGGGCTTCCAAGAAAAGTTAACAGCTGGCTATTCTCCTGCTAACTGCAAACAAAACCTAAGGCAGCCAGACAAGTTTTCTAGCAGTAGTGCAATCACCCTCATTTGCATGTCAAGACCCACAATAATCCCTGTGCCTCAGTGATCATTATGTTAATCCCTCAAAATCAAAGCTATTGTATTAAGTCTCCTCTGCAGTTCTCTCACATTCTTTTTCACTGTGTTCCCCTTATTTTGTCATCATCTGATCAGCTGCCATGTCATGTGACTCAGAATCTATAAAACACTCTGTGTATGTTCTAAAAGCTTTTAGTCCGCGGTGAAGGCCACTACCTAGAAGCATGCTGTCGTTAGTAACTGCAGGAGGCCTGGATGATTTCACCAATAAAAATGCGGGGTTCAAGCCGATTCAATGTTCCCTGTGGGTCCTGGTATTCATTCTTGTCACTGGTAAGGAGACGCTGACATTCTGCATCTGTTATTACCCCATGATATGTATTAAATAAACTGCATATTATCTTTGACACAAGTGGTTTCATTTCTTCCTAAATATCCTTAAATTGAAAGTGAAGTGTCTTGGCTGGACCAGGACCCTGTGGCCAAAACCACCTTGCTTACTCTTCTCCGTGATCCTCTGCTGTGATCTTCATGTCTTTACCAGTGGTACCCACCCACGGCTGCAGAATCAGGCATTTGCTTCAAGCATTTGCTTTTGTTCATGTGAAACAGAGGGCAGCACAGCATGAGATGCAGGAGTTCTGGGTTCAGCTCTCCCATCACTGCATTCTGGGCTTACAGAAGCCGCAAGCTCTGATTGGAGGGTGGGGGCGAAACTTGGCCCTTCGTGTCATTTTCCTAATTGAAACTGCCCCACTTATTTGCCATTGCCCTTTTGGGAAAAATATACAGGGCTAAGAGAGGCAATGTAAATTGGGAAAATTGCATGGGGAGGTGCTACAGCCTCAGTCCCTGGGCCACTGTTCTGAACAGAACCAGACTTGCTCCAGTTGCTTTTAACTAAAACCAAGAAGCGCCCAGAAATCTGATCACTCTCTCATGCAGTCTGGCCTTGAGCTTCACAGAGAACTGAGCTGCTTGCCTTTGTTTTTCATCAAGAACATCCTCAAGCTGATCGCTGTTCAAACAAAACAACCTTTCCCCCACCCCACAAACAAAGAGACTAAATCTGCATAAGCTTAACCATGTATTACTTTTCCAGGCTCTGATAATAAGGTAACTGTTCCGTGCAACACACACGGGCAGACTCTGCCAAAAGGACTGGAATCCATGAGTCATGCTGCTTTTAGCAATAAACATTCAAAGAAGTGCTGTGGGTGGATTAAACTGAAACTTAAGGAGGCTGCAAAAATTAATGGGTTCTTGATTAATATAGTTTGGACCCAGATGACAAGAAAGAATACAGAAGAGTTCAGTGGAAGAAAAGGTTTAGGAAAAAAGGAGAAGAGAGAAAAAAGCAGGGCATTGACACAGTAAGATGTTTCAGACGTAATACCAGCGTGATACCATAGAAGACATTTCCAAACAGGGAGCGGAGTGATGGTCAGCTCTGGAACAAGCCACCTCACGAGGTGGCAAGTTCTCCTTTACTGGAGGTATTAAGGAGAGGCGAGCTGCCCATTTGTCATGGGTGATACAAGCTGCACACTACAGTACTGAGCCTGCACCGAGCAGATAGGAGAATGTAATGATCTTCAAAGACTCTTCCACCACTCTGATATCATGGACTACAGTTTGTTGTGATGCCTGAATGCAACAAACCAGTTTGCAAGCAGTTTTCAAAATAGGATCCTAAATCATGTTTTGCAGCAGATTATGAACCATAATTTGGGAGGATCTTCTGCCCCTGTAGAGGTCACTGGTTGGGAAAGCATCTGTGTCTTCTCAAGGATGATGGGGACAGAGGGAACCACATTTCCTAAGGCTTCTGTAGAAGAAAAATTGTGATTTGGAGCCTAAACTGTAGTTAGCGCAAATAAGAATTGGCATTATGTCTGAATAAAGCAAATGCGCTGGAGCCACACCTAGACATACTTTGAGTAGAGTTGCTGAAATCAAACTGTCATATGAGTCATGAATAATTAAAGTCCCATTATTTTTCATGGGGCTTCTCCAAATATGACTAAATCTGGATCCAACCCATGGTCTTCAATTTCTGGATCAATAGTGCCAGCCTGAAAGCTTGGAAGACATTATTATAAATTAAGAAGGAATTACAGGGGGAGAGGAGAGGAGAGGAGAGGTTCTAATGCAGAAACTTGCAATGTTTATTTTTCATGTATCTCCACATTTGTTCTAATGCAACTGCTAATTACTCAGCATGGGCATTATAGTTCCTTTAAAAGCATCTGTTGACTACTGTGATGGCTTCAATATGTAGACCCTCCTTAATTTCTCACGATAAATTGAATGCTAGGTAAGTTGGAATGCCTTACTGCAAGGATAGGAAGGTCCATTAACCAGATATTATCCTTAACACTTTAACCTTTGGCTCAACTGGAATAAAAAGTAGTTAAATACTTTGGAATTAGAATCTCCAAGGAGCTATCTCAGGTCCTGAAGCACTCTGTTCTGACAGAGGTTTTATTATCAAGCTGCTGCCCCTAGCACTCTACAGGCTCACTTCTCCAGCCAGGGATGATGGAAGTTGTAATCCAACAATTTGAAGTTAAACACTGCTGCTCTAATAGATCGGTTCACCCGCAACTCGGTGCTTCCAGATGTGCTGACTACAGCTCCTAGTGTCCCCAGGACACAGCTGGCTGAAGGATGCTGGGAGCTGTAGCCCAGCACATCTGGAAGGCACCAGATTTTGGAAGGTATTAACCACCTGTAGTGAAGGTTCCATAACACCCCTTAGCATATTGTGACAATGCCCATTTCCTCTTGCCATCAGCCCAGTTTTCAGATTAAATTAACACGAGAGCCCCGGGCCTTTTGCCACCCCGTTCACACTGGAACATGACCTGACCACCAGCATCATCCACCCAAGCCTCAAAGCTGAAACAGACCTGGTAAATGGCTTCGTCACAGGCGTTCTGCAGACCCAGGTTCACCATCGTGTTCTGAAGTGTTCGGCCCATGTAGAATTCCAGGGACAAGTAATAAATACGCTAAGGAAGTGGGAGAAAAGGACAGTGAGTCTTTATCATGTGCAATGATGTGATTCACCCCCTGATCCACTCACTGCCAATGCAGTAAATTATGTGCGGTTACATCTGTTTTTATACATGCTGGAGCCACCTTTCCTGTAAGAAGCCCAAGGCAATATGCATGGTTCTCCCATTACCCATTTTCCCCTCGCGACACCCCTGGGAGGTAGAGGCTATGCTGAGGAGGAGTGCCTGACTCGCGGTCACCCAGAAAGGGTCACGGCCAAGCAGGGATCTGAACCTGAATTGTCCCGACAATTCATCTGACAACCCACACTCAAACCACGTTCTGCCTTTGAGTGTGGGTTAATGCCTTGTCTGAACCAGCTCGTTGTATGTTACCTGGACCTACCTGGAGGAAAGGCAGGATGAAAATGAAGTAACTAGATTTGTATCTCCTGTATACAGGCTGCAGAATTCTGCTTTTCTGGGTACAGAGCTTCGGTTATCTGGGCACAATATTTTAACTTTTTTAACACGCAGCTTTAGGCCAGGGCGGGGGGTATTTTTATAAACCAACTGGCACACCGGAGTTCTGCTCCCTGTGCCACTGTGAACTTCACCAGATGATAACGTGTGAATGGCACAGTGACACGGAGCTCAGCAGGGGACACGAGTGGCGACACAACGCATACATCTTCCCTAGAGGGAAAAGCTGGCGGTGGCGCTGCCTGCACTCAGGACTTCCATCTGTCAGGCTCCGTTTAGCATCAAAATCCAAGGCACGAGAGAAAAAGAACCACAAACAGGAAGATGAACAAAGAAAATGAATGGGAGGAACAGAGATGCACCAGGCTACTCACTGGGACCCAGGCAATTGCAGAGGATGACAACTTCCCCTTGGTTCACAAGCCTTGTAGGCCGGAGCACTGAATTCCACCTCCTCAGGTTAAATTCAGCCTAGCTATGTTCCAGTCTGGCCCATGTGGCTCTGGCACCCTCCCCTGTACCATCACCTCTTCTGGAGCACCCAGCTTTGGTGGCTTCCTGGCCTTCGCACACACTCACACTCACTGACTCTCACGAAGGCCATCCTAAAAGGGTTACTTACGGGCAGCAAGAGCATCAAGAGAAAATTGCTGCCTTTGGGCCACCACCACCAGAATGCATCTCCCCCGAGCATCTGCAAAACAGAAATTGCCTGCCAGGCTGAAAGAGGGTCCACACCCTGCTTTTGAGAGTGAAGATGCTGCTCCCTGTGAGCACCAGAAGGATTCACTGCAGTGGAGGAAAACTGGGGCCAGCCTTCTCAATTACTTCCCAGAAAACAGCCAAGATCCTAGAAAGTGACAGAATTAATGTGTTTGGTGCCTTGAATTCTGCCTCTCTGGCCCATTTCTTGCAATGGAAATTGTCTGAGAAGAGTCCTTGAAGTTGAGGAAAGAAATGACTAAGCACAAAGTGTGCTGGGAGGAAAGAGCAAACAATCAGAGATTAGACCACTTAAGCAACTCTGAAATATTTATTGGCTCCTGCTCTAGCTTTCAGCCAAGATAAAAAAAGGAACGAGCTTTGAGAAGAAGCCACAGAGTGGAAATCCCTCAATTTGCTTGTTCAGGGTTACTCAGAAATGCTTTCTGATGACTTTCGTGACCTTGGCACACATTTGGTGCAAGTCACAGTGGCAAAGCTCCTGCTTGGAAACCAACACGGCTGGCTTCGTATGCTCCTGTGGGTGCTTGCAAATGCAGTACCAATACCTTCAGCTCTCTTAGGGCCCGGTCCCATGGCCTCTCCATATTGTCACAGGATTCTTTGGCATCGAGATTCTTTGGCATCGATTCTTCCCTATGATCTTGGGCAGGGATCATAGGAAGCGGACAGGGAAGGGCAGAGAAGTGGAGGAAGCAGCGGGCACTGCTAGCTGGCCAAATTGCACAAAACTATCTGGATGGGGTCCTCTCCAAAGGCTTGCCTGCTCATCACTGTGGCGCTAAAGGTGCAACACGGGCCCTCTGCAGAAGCAGCAGGGAACGGAGCAAAGCAATTTTCTCTCTCGCAGCATGTGCACTGCCATTACCAGCAATTCGTAACGAGCACTATTGGTTGGCTCCTGGATAAGGACCAGGAAGCCCTCTTTAGAACCCCTGGGGGCTTCTGAGAGATAAGAGGATTTAGCAAGGCACAGCAGCACTCTGTCACTAAAAGAGTCTCTCGCCCGCCCTCCCCGCTTTCAAGTTTGTGGCAGGCAGAAGGACTCCTTGAGAAAAAACGGGACGGAGCGTGAAATGTGATCAGGCCACAACAGCCACCACCCACTCATGCTGAAGCAACATTATGGATTTTAATATGGCCATTCTGCCTTAAATGGATTGTGGCTTTCAAGATAAGAAGAGTCCTCTAGAAGGAGACCTTAAATGCAACCAGTTCTGCATTTTGATCCAACAGATGCTTCTGGAAAGCCGGCTTGCTACAAGCCTTGAAGTCTTGGGCTTCAGCAGCAGAAGCAGTTCCTTATCCGGCTGCCTTAGCAAAAGGTGCAGAATTCAAGGCCTGGGGGATAAAGCCAGTCTTTTGGGGTGGTTCAAGAGGCCACTCCCCCTACTTCTGAACCCACCCCTTTCCCCCCAACTTGGGTCACTAGGTGGTTCCCTGGCTTTTGTGCAGGCTTTCACCCTTTCAAAGGGTTGACATGTTCCTGCTTAGTTACTGTTTGGGAGAACTTCAAGCAATAAGAATAAGAATAAGAAGCTGGCAGTACTTGGCCCTATCCATCCCTGGGATCCAGCCTCCAAGAGCTTCTCCTAAATGCTGTTTGCCCTTGTCCTGCTCTAAGTGGAGCAACTGTACCAAGGAACAGCCTTTGGACTGGGGTGGGGAAGGGGATGGGGGAATGGATCTGGCTGAGCAGTCGACGCCATCTTGAAGGCCTAACCCAGGCACTGACTGTGTGGCACCAAGCAGAAGAGGGCAGGACGGAAATCGAGGGCTTTTCAAGGTAAAGTGGGACCGAGTCTGAGGGTTCTGTCCTGGAGCCCACACAGTGCCTGACAGCAGAACAAGCCTCTGCTCAAATTCATTTGCCAAAGCAGCACTAAAAACAAAAAAGCAAAGGAAAGCACCCAAGAAATGGCTTAACAAAAACGTCTGGACTGGTTCACAGTTAGGGATATAAACATCTGGGCACTGTCGGCTTCTTATTGAAAGTTCTGCTGCAAGAGAAGCTTTCAGTCAAGATTTGTATTTCTAACGTGGAGTCCAGCACTCAGAGGGTCCCTGGACTTGCGGTTGCAGAAAAAGAGCCTCCACCCACATGATGTTGTACAAGGAACACAGCTGGGGAAACCTGCAAAAGCAGTGTATGGCAGGCACAGGTGGGACGCGGCTCAGATCCCCAATCCCAAAAGAAGTCAAGAATCTGGATATTTGCCTGTGATGGTGCTAATACTGAGGATTTGTTATTCTGGTCAAGAAATCCATTTTCTCTTTGAGATTCAGCTGCCTGTAAAAACTCCCTTTCTTGCATGTACTTGTAATGACCTGCGTGGGTGATCTCGTGCTGTTCTAGTCTCAAGGCCAGAGCAGGATTCTTGCTAAACAGACCGAGTTATTTCAGCAGGGCTGCTGCAAGCCCCCTCCCTGCATGGCTCCCCCTGCAAGACGGAGGAAGGGACTCAGCCCACCAGCGCTTGGGCTGGAGGGTCATCTCGGAAGAAGCCACTCAGCCAGCTAGTGACTAGCTAAGCAGGCTTATCTGAAACTTCTCAAGGCTTCTAACCATAGAACTAGGGGCAGGTTGGAGTTATTTATTGGTCCCTGTTCTAGCCTTTGTTGGCAGCTTGATCTTGCTTTTTGCCTTGTGACTCTCTGGATCACGGACTGGCTCCCAGTCCCTTATTTTTGTGTGTGTGGAAAAAAACACTTTATCATAAAATTTTAGTAAGACAAAATTATGAAGAGGAAAAGATGTAACTCTATAAATCTGAAATCACTTCCCATACATGCATATTAAATGCACATGTGTGTGTCAGTATGCAACTTTTGGAAAATTATACATAACCTTCAAGAAAGGCATATATGTAAACATTTGCAGTGGTATCGCTATACCACCCATTCCAATGTTCATTTCATTATTACATTTCTATACTGTTCAGTAACTGAAGCTATATGGGCAGCCTCACACAGATCAACAGTATCCTTAGGACTAGCATGAAATGGGCCCCAGATGACCTCAAAACACTCCTACTGGTGGCCCATGCAGGATTCAAAGTGGCAGCAAGTTGGTGTTTCTTTGCTGCTCTTGCCTCCCCTGAATACACACAGTCATTGCGGAGTTCAGGTCTCTCTCCTTTTCCCTTTTCAGTAGATCAAGGCGGAAGAATTCTAGCTGCAGTCCTTTAGTGAGTTAGGCTGGCTTCGCAATACAGTGTGAGTAACATAAAAGTTGTTAGTGAGAAACATCTACCAAGTTAATGAACCTCTAATTGCTGAGTTAGTTCTTGCCCATTGCCAGAAGTTGATCCCAAACTGAATGCCCTTTCAGTTTCCTGAAAAGAACACATGAAAATTCAGAAAAATCCCATGATCAAAAATAGTTCCTTTGTACAGCAGAGAGATAAAGGGAAATAAACCTTCTTTTCTCCTAACAAACCTCCTTTGCTGCTGCTCTTACCATGACTTTCAGAAAAAGAAAAGAGGAGACTGTTGTTTGGGAGTGAGGGTAGAGGAATTGTTTGGAGAGATGAGGAGTCTGGAGAGTTGAGGTTGGGAAGGACCAGGATTCATCTCTAACTTGATTATTATCCAGGCTTGGGAGGAATCCAGGGACTTGCAAAACCCACTTCATCATTCAAGGCAGGCCCTAGGAGCCTCCAAGGTTCCTTTCTGAGCCTGGCTCAGGAGAACAGGAACACATGAAGAGCAGGCAAATGGGTCCTGTGAGAAATGGTTGTAAGAGCTGGTCTATTTCCCCCGGAGAAGAGAGTAGGGGGAGACACCACACCAGCCTTCAAATACCTGAA